CTGCGCATGCCCCACTCTGCTCTGTGTCCCCAGTCTGCCGGTGACGCCGCTCCACCCGTCCGGCACCCGGCCCCTTCCCCAAATCCACCGGCTGCCGCCCTGGCTCAGGCCCAGCCTTCCCTGCTGGCTGTTCCATGGCCTCTGAATGCCGCACCCCCCCGTCCCCCTGTCCGCCCTGCCCTGGCCCCAAGAGAATGTCCAAGCCCCTCAGCCGTGCCCAGAGGAGAATCACTGCCTATTCTACTCCTGCACGCATTCATCCGTCTGCGCCTGGACGCACCAGGTCCTCTGTGGTCCCATGCCTGGCACAGTGCAGGTGTGATTTGGAGGAGAGCCTGGGTCCCTGACCCCCTGGTGAGGAGTACCACTTGCCTCTCCCCCACAGCCTCCAGCAAGTCCTCCAGGGGCCAGTGTTCCATTTCCAGAAAACAAAGTGGAAAAATGAAACACAGTTTATTTACCATGCCCAGCTTGAGAGGATGTTCTCTGTGCACTCCAGAGTGGCTGTCTGTGGTTACAGTGTGCGCTGAGACAGAAAGAGCCCCTGTCAAGAGCTGAGGGGAGGAGGCCGTGGTGAGGGGACGTGTCTGGTGAAAGAGTCCATGGGTGTCGTTTCTGCCCGGCTGGGCTCAGAGGTCCCAGGGAGGGTCTGATGTTTGGTTTCTGTGTACGTAGCTTAGCTGTGAGGTTGATGTGGTCACAGTCGGTCTGAAGGACGGCCTCTGGATGACCTGCTATTTAAGAGTAATAGGGCATGGCGCTGGCCGTATTGGAGTGACCAGGACCGAACTGGACTCCAGCACAAAGAAGAAAGCTGGACAAAGTGTGTGAACCAGTGGTTTGCAGCAGCCCGAGAGGAGCCCACTGTGACCCGGGGTCACCTGCTCCCCACAGGGAGGCTCCCAAAGGCTGGCACCATGGGGACTGAGCCAAATATGGCACCTTGAATCAGCTGGGCATGTGGGGCAGAGGGGAAAGGCAACAGAGTGAGACCTCCAGACATGAGCAGAGGGCGCCTTCAAGTCTGGACCAGACACAGAGATGAGTGTGCACCAAGGGAGACTCATAGCTGGGGCAAGGAGCGGCCATGCACCGAGGACACAGGTCCCAGGGAAGCATCTGTGCTCTAAGCAGAGGCCAAGTATTGTCTGAACACCCAGGACGTGCAGTAAGGACACCCAAGGGGGCTGCTCCTTCTTATGAATGGGACTAGAAAGGAGTGAAAGCTGCCGTAAACCCGCCTACCAAAGATCACACTGATCTGCCAGGGGCCAACGGCTGCCAGAGCAGAGCCCAACACTATAAGAGAAGGTACGAACATCTAGCACTCAACAACATACCCTAAAAAGTTGTTGGCACTAAGAAACTAGAAAAAGGGATCCCAAGCTAGAGAGAACGTCAGCCAATGTCAGTACGCCCGGAGAGGACGGTGGTGAAATGAACAGACACTGGCTTTAAAACAGCTACTGCAAGTATGTGTCGGCCCCCAGACGTCTCAGAGGAGTTACAGGAGGCAGCAGTGGGAAATCCAGACACGAAAAGCACATTTCCTGGAATGGAATGTGAATTTCCTGAAATGAAAACAGAGTTAGCAATAGATTAAGGATTGTAGAAGAAAAGATGGATAAAATTGAAAACACAGCAAAAGAAACCATTTCAACTGGAGCGGAGGGAGAAGGGATGAGACGGATACACAAGAAGAGAGCTCCGCTGATCTGTGGATGCAGACGGCACAATCTCTGTCAGCCTGGCTGCTTGTATCTGTGCATAGGACAGACCAAAAAAAAAAAAATGCTTGCAGAAATAATGGGTGGAAATTTTCCAAATTTGATGACAACTATACACCCATGAGTGCAGGAATCTCAGTAAAATGTAAATAGAATAAACTCACCTGAAACCCACCAAATTCATCTTTAGTCAAACTGCTGATGACCAGTGGTGAAATTTTAAGGTCTGAGAAAGAAGCCCAGTCAAGGTTACAGAGAACGAGAGTGACTACAGATTCCATCAGAAGTTATGGATGCTGGAAGCAATAACCTGTCTTTAAAGGGTGGCAGCTCAGCCTGCGCTTGCCCAGTCTCGTCACAGACTTCAGCACCTGATCCCTGCTTGGGCATCTCTGCCCCCCCGAGATCCTGCACCAGGGGGTAGCAGGCCTGGTCAGGCCCTGGGGTGGGTGGCTGTGGCATTGTGTTTGGGGTGGCACTCGTGGGAGAGGAACGCTGTGGAGGTGTGGGCTGCCTGTGACCAGCTGTCTTGTTGCAGGCTGCCCTTCCCACCCGGGGACCGAGTGACCTTCAACGGGAAGGAATGCGTGTGTCAGAAGTGCTCCCTGCCTACACCAGTGGGCAGCGGTGCCCACATACACCAGGGCCTGCGGAGTAAGTAGGCATGGGCATCTGGGTGGGGAGGGTACCGGGGACAGGGACGGCACGATAACACGAGACCAGGACAGGCACAGCCACGGCTGTGGTGGAAGCACACGGGGAAGGACAGGAGCAGACCTCCCCAGGGCTGCCAGCCGCCAGGCCCTCGCCCGGGCCAAGTCTGCTTTCCCGCTCTCCCTCCTGCTGGAGCTTTCCTGGCCTTCTTTGGTCCTCTTGCTGCATCCACACATCTCCCCCTTGCCAGCAGAAGTGCTTTGGGGGCTCCAGGAGAGCCCTGGACTCTGGACTCCTGTGGGCAGGCAGGGCTCTCGGGTTCTCGGCTCCACCCTCGGGAGCTGCCATCTGCAGCAGGTGCTCAATGCGCGCTTGGGCATCAGGAGGTCGTCGCTGTGAAAGAGCAAAGGCTGGGGGTGCCCGGTTACAGATGGGTGGGGCGGTGGCCAGCGGGCCCCCACACCAGGACCTGCTGCTGCCCAGTGCCCACTGAGGAAATGGCATTTCAGAGCCAGCCTGTGCACAGGGCCACGGTGGTGTCCCCAGGGCAGGGGGAGTGCTGGGGACAGAGGACAGGGAGGGTTTCTGAGACTCCCAGGCAGCCCCAGGCTCCATCACCTCCTGCTGTGCCCCACACCCCCTTTCTCCCAGCTCTGTGAGGGTCCCACCCAGCTCTGTGCTGGCCTCAGGGCGCTCTTGTCATTGTCATTTTACTGGGAGTGAAGCAAACTCACACCCTAGGGCAGCAAGTTTGCAGTGGCACCGGGTGGCAGCGTGTGGCTTTGAGGCTTCCTGAGACAGCCCTGCCCGGGATGGTGTTGGGGTCCCCTGCTCTTCCAGAGATCCCTAGGGCACTGTTTTGTCCTTGGCATGGCACAGTGCAACTGGACAGCTGAGGGACCCCAACCTGGGCCATGTGCCTGTCCAGCTGTGGGGTCTCGGGAGGCAGCCCAGGACCCAGCCTGGATGGTTTCGGCCTTTGCGTAGCAGTGGACGTGCCCTGTCCCCAGCCCCGTGATTCCCAGTGGACACCCTCTCAGTCATGGCCCTGCTTCAGAACCCAGTCGGTCCCCATTCCCAAAGGTGGACATCAGGTCCAGCTTTGAGGCCCTGCTGTACTAACCCCATGGCAGGAGGTGGGGTCAGCCCCACTGGGGCTGCTGGCTCTGCCCTGTCCTTAGGAGGGCGGCTCATAGGTCCAGGCCTAAATCCGCACCCGTGTCTGCTGGAAGAGGGGGCTGCTGGGAAGCGGACTGGGCGGTTATACAAGGGCCACGAGAGGTGCATGGCTGGCCCTGGACATGTGGTACCCATGTAGTGGGTGGCACTGGTCATGCATGGCTCTGTGTGTGTGGCTGGCAGAGTCCTTTGAGGCCATGCTGAGCTCCTCGTGTTTGGAGTAGGGACTGCAGTTTCCATGACAACGTGACCTGTCTTCCAGGCCCTGCTCCCACCCCACGTCACAGGGAAAGGGGCCCAGGAATGCTGTCCACGCCACCCTGCCTAGCTCATGCAGAGAGAATGAGACCCAGCCCCTTGGGGGTGAGCGGGCCATGGATGGGCATGGTACTCGAGCAGGCGGCGTCCAGCCCGGCCACCTGCCCCACACAGGCATAGAGTCCATCATCAAGTGTGCCCTTCACGGCAGGCACTGGGGCCTGCATTCACTCTCGAGGGGGCTGTGCCCATGACCGTCCCCCAGTGTCCCCTTGCTGGGGCTCAGAGAGGGGAGGTGGCCCTGGTCACACAGCTGGTGGGGCTGAGCAGCTCCGGACCTTGCCTGACCCCACTCCAGCCACCTGTGCCCCGGTCCCCTGTGCCCCGGGGGCTCAGTTTGCCATCCACGTAGAGGCCAGGAGTGGCTTAGTGGGTGCTCTGTGTTCTGCTCCTTCCGGCAGGCTGTGGGGGCTGCGGCCTGGAAATCAAGAATGGGCAGGCGCTGGTGGCACTGGACAAGCACTGGCATGTGGGCTGCTTCAAGTGCAAGACCTGCGGGAAGCAGCTGAATGCCGAGTACATCAGCAAGTGAGTGTGGCCGTGTGGGCTGCGTCACCCTCGCGCCCAAGTTCCGCAGGGCGGGCACCAGGCCTGCACCCACTGCCCCCGCCCTGCAGGGCAGCCTGTGCCTTCTCCCCACCCAGCTCGCTCTTCTTCAAGCGGCTCGCAGAGGCTTCTGGTCCTTTTCCGTTGTCCAGGGGCAGGGGAGTCAGGGCTCCCGCTCTGAGTCTGTGTCCCTGGTGCCCGTGTCCTGCAGAGCACGAAGTGGCATCAGCAGATGCCGGCTGCGGTCCCGGCTAGGAGGCTTGGGCTGGCCGTCCACAGTGCTGGGGACCCCTCAGAGCTGACTGTGGCCTTGATTGGGGCTGTTCGTGGCTGGGAGCCAAGGGGCCTTTCAGTGCTGGGCGAGGAAGCTGAGGCAGGCAGCCCCCCGGGGTAGGTTGAAAGTGCAGTCCCTCCTAGCGCCAGTTGGTGCCCGCTGAGCTAAGTGACCTGAGGCTCACACTGAAGACTCACAGTTCTGGGCACCTGGTGGGAACCGGCAAGATGCAGGTTTGTGGAATAAAGTGCACGCCTGCCCACGCGCGCGTGGACATCGGGCTGTGTCAGGAGATCCAGGCTCAGGATGTGTCCACGTTCGCCTGCTGGCTGACCGTTCTCTGACTTGGGACACCTGGGGCCCAGAATGGAGCTCACCCGACGCCCATCTGTGTTGTTCTCCAAGGGCACGCCACCCAGAGGGTCTCGGGTGAAACATTTTAAGGCCAAGTTCCCACACCAAGGCGCATTAGCACCCAGGGTGGGTGGAACTGCCCAGGTCACAGCAGAGCAGGCCAGGACAGACGTGGGCAGATGCGGGCTGCTGTGCCGTGCGCTGTGAAGGGTGTGTCGGCACCCAGCCCCCAGCGCGCTGCTGCCCCCACCAGCTCACCCACACCATGTTACTTAGCAGCCTCTGGAGCCGCCCTTGGTGTTGCCATGGAGACCTGAGCGTTGAGCCTCTGGGTGTGCTGCAGGTACACCCATCGTGGGGTGCACTGGGGCCCGCAGCAGGCAGCACAGAAGACGGGTCCCCTCTCGAAGGAAGGGCAGTGTTCCCCCCTGCTCCCTGGGATTGGAGCGGTAAAGGGGCAGCCGCAGAGGGCAGGCAACCCTCTGTGACCCAGCCAGGCTCGGCCCCTCCCAGCCCTCTGTCCAGATGAGTGACGTGACTTTAGGGGACAGGGCTGTAGGCACAGCAGGCGCCCCTGCTCCCGGCCACCTCCACACCCCCTCATGGTCAAGGGGCCAGGCCTGTAGTAGTGACAGGGGCCTTGGCCACCATTGCCCAAGTGCTTGTGCCACAGTTTCTCCTGCGTGGTCCTTGCTCTTTCCCACGGTACTGAGCTGTACCCATACAGGTCACACCTTCGGGGCATGGTTTGGAGGCCGAGTCCATTTGTGTCTTTCTAAACTGGTGCTGAACTCTGGGCGGAAGGAAGTGAGAAGGACGGAGATGCCTGGGAACTTCTTTCACGTGGTGGATGTGGCTTTTGTTCCCGCTCCTCAGCCCCTGGGTCACTCCCCTGGCCTCTGTGTGCCTCAGTTTCCCTATCTGTGCAGGGGGACGGTCTTGTGGCCGGCAGCCGTCCCATGTGTGGCCCTCGAATGACCCGCCGTCCTGCCCCATCTCGTTGCAGGGAGGGGCTGCCCTACTGCGAGACGGACTACCACACGGAGTTCGGGATCCGCTGCAGCAGCTGCGAGGGGTTCATCACAGGGCGCGTACTGGAGGTGAGCGGCACCTGCTTGTCTGGGCCTCTGGTGCTGAGGTCCTCATTGTCCCAGGCTCACCGAGGCCAGGCCTCCTCTGGGCCGTTCCACATGTGCTGCCAAGCCCAGCTGCCTCCCTCCCAGCTCTGCAGGGTAGGGCAGGGGCCTCCCCTGGAGCCCTCTGGGCGCAGGATGGGCCCCGAGTTGGAGTCGGCCGTGGGCGGGGCCGGAGCTGGGTTGGTCCTGCCTTTCCGGCCTGGCTTGGGACAGGTGCGTGGGACTGGAAGTGAGGCAGGAGGTGGTGCGGGGACTGAAGCACCTGTACTGGACACTGGGCACCTGGCAGATGGCTGAGCAGTGGTTATGGGTGGGAAGCTCAGGCGCTGGCAGTGCTGGCGTCCGGCCCTGGGTGGCAGGGACACAGGTGAGCTCCTGAGCAACACTTACACACACGGGCCATGCTTCCTTGTGGTCCCCAACTCCTGGTTGGCCCTTCCTATGGGTCTCAGGGGATAGGAGGAGGCTGAGAACTGCCCAGGGGTGTGCGAGTCCTTGCCGTGGCCCTGGGGGCTGCTGCTGGGGATGGGAACAAGGCCTCCAGGAAGGAGGAACCCAGGGGCCAGAGGCCGCCCACACAGGCAGGGGAGACACTCCCTGTCCCAACCCCCACCGGGCTCAGAGCCTGGCTGGGCCTGCAGGCATTGCTGAGTGGGGCTCCTGCACTGGCCTCCCCGACTCTGCACCTGGGTGCATGGCCTCACTTTCTGGGTCCCCCCCAAGGTCCTGCTCTGCGGGACCTCCACCCTGAGGGTGAGTTTAATGATTTCCTCAATGCCGGGAGAAAGGTCCATAGGTAGAGAGCACCTTGAAGAGAAGAAACTGACAGGAAATGTGGGCCGAGTAATGTTCTGGCCGGGTCCCTCCCTGCCTTCCTGTCCATGAGACCATTGCTGGTGTCAAACTGTGTGTGCAATGTGATGTCATGAGTGTTTCCAACTCCGCTTTCCACAGTAGTGGGTTTCGTGTCATTACAAAGTCGTCGTCAGCTATTTATTTCTGTAGTTGGAATCTTTGAAACAGCTTTACTGAGATACAGATCTGATTCACCCCCTTCCCGTGCACCAGCAGTGCAGTCAGCGACCTCACAGCCACCACCACTGCCACTGTCTGGATGTTTCCATCCCTGTAGCCGCCGTGTCCTGGGCCCTGCAGCCCCTCAACCACGGATCGACTCTGTCTCTGGGGTCTGCTTCCCTCTCCACGGGTCAGGTGCTGGGGTCGTGATGGCCGAGGCCAGCGCCTCACTCCGAGCTGCCAGGACTCACTGCCCACTGTCGGCGGTGGACGTGGAGGCGATTTCCGCCTTTCCACTATGACGAGTGACCTGCAGTGAACCCCCTTTAAAAGTGCTTTCTGTGTACTTCTAATTTTCCTTCAGGTAATTTATAGAAATGTAAGAGCTGGCTCAAAACTATGAGCATTTTTGCGGGAGCCACCAGGGATCGAACTCGGGACCTTGCATTTGCGAGGCAAGCAGTGGTGCCACTGAGCTACAGCCCCAGGTCTACGAGCGTCTTTACAGTTCTCTACCGTCCCGTACCACGGCGGTCACCGTGAACTGCTTCTGCCTGACAGTGCAGCATTTCCCGCCCACACCCCTGCCGGTGGGCAGGTGGATGAACATTTGTCTCCTTCCCATCCCTAGGGAGGCTGAGACTTGTTTTCTGTCACTTTTAGCCAGTTGTAGTCCTTACATCTTAATTATCCTCTATCCATTCCACCTGCGCATGGAGCAGTCTTCACATTGTTCGGTGTGAGGGGATGGTGTGGTAAGAGCGTGATGATTTCCTTGCCTTGTGCCTGCGAAGTGTCCTCCTGCGGCGATCTTACCTGATATTGTATCTGATACCCATGTGCACGTCCCGGTGGGACCAGGCACCCCTCTGTCCCCTCCCCACAGCCCTTCCCAAGCTTGGTCCGTCCGTCCCTCCTTTCTCTGCATCCTTACCTGGCCACCCTCCTCCCTGGTGGCTAAATCAGAGCGCCCGCGGGCCCAGCCTGCCGTGGGTCCCTGCGGTGGCTCTGCGGTCCCTCTACCTCCCTCACAGCTGCACATGCTGCCTCTTGAGCCCCAGAACCTCGTGTCCCGGAAGCCCCAACATCTTCCCTTCCCTGACCAGTGTGCCCCCCAGGGCCCCCCTCCTCCCCTCTTCTCATGCGCCTGGCACCTGGCACCTCTGCCCAGGTGCTCCTGCCCAGCCCCCACAGCTGCCCCGTCCGTTGTCCTCCGAAATGTAGGTGGTGCTGAAACTCAGCCAGGTGTGGGAAATCCCACGGGCCGGGCAACCGGCCACTGGCTAACAGGAGGCAGCTGGACTTGAATGCAGGCCGCCCCTCTGCTTGGCCTCTGCCTGTAGGGTGCAGGCCTGGGACCCACGTCCACACTGTGACCCTTCCCGGCTAGTACGGGTGAAGCCGGACTAGAGGCTGCTGATGTCTCCAGCCAGGAGTGGAGAGGCCCGGCTGGGTGGGGGCAGCCTGCTGATGCCCTGGCTGCCCTGCCTCCTCCGGGGGGAGCAAGGGCTGCACCTGACCCAGAGGCATCCCCAGCTCAGCACTGCCTGGGCAACGCATTGGACAGCTTCTCCATCCACCTTGCTCTCCCTCCTTGGTGGCTTCGAGGGCACAGGCAAGCCGTTGTGTGCTGTGTACCTGTCCCTGATCAGCACCCTGGGCCAAATGCGGAACTGGGGACATGGTCCCTCTGAGCAGCCGCAGGTGCACCTGGTCAGCTGGAAGGGACGGGCCTGGGTGCCAGGCCTGGCGGGGAAGACTCTGCTCTTGTTTCCTCCTGTGCTGGAGGCAGGCGAGCGTGCAGCAGCGTCTGAAATTCTGCAGAGCTCTGAGCAGCCTCCTGGCGCTGCGAGGCGGGAGCCGCGGGCGGAGACAAGCCGGGCTCCGTGGCAGGGAGCTGCCGCCGCCTTGGCACCACCTGACGCTCGGCCAGGCTGCTGGCGCCCAGCTGGTGGGCTCTCAGGGAGCAGCAGGAGCCGGCGACAGATCCCAGCTCTGGAAAAAGGAAGGAGCTAGGTGCTGGCTGCAGTGTGAGCGTGTCCACCACAGCTGCTGCCCTGGAGGAGGGCCGGGGCCCCAGGACCGGTGCAGGTAGGAAGTGAGGAACCTGAGAGCTGTGCTGGGCGCAGGAGGTAGGGGCTGGTGCCGTGGGCACGAGGTCCCCAAGGCACTTGTCACTCCTGCTCTGTCTCCAGACTGGTGTCAGTGGAGTGGGGAGCACCCAGGCCCTGCCAGCAGCCAAGCCTTGCCTGTGCCATGCCTGCGTGTGGTGGGCGCAGTGCCATCTTAAGCACTGAGTGCCAGCCGTGGCCGCCCTTGAAATGTGCATTCAGTGGTGGCAGGGGTTTTCCTTCTGCCTCCTGAGCTGGTAGCCTGCTGCCTGCTGCCGTCCCTGGAGTCTGTCTTGGGGGGGCCTGCTCTTGCTCTCTGGCAGAGGCCACAGCGGGCTGGGTGCTGGGAGCTGCTGCCTGTGCTAGGGAGGGGGAGCCCCTCGCTGTGTGCCCACGTCCTGCAAGTGGGGCTTCTTTCTCAGCCCACCTGCCCAGGGTCTGGGCCCTGCTGTCGGGTAGCTTGGCCACCTGGGGCCGTCTCCACAGTAACGGGAAGCCCAGCCTCCGTCGGGCACCAGTTCGTTCCTTCCTCCCTCCTCCCAGCTCTCTGTCCTTCCCTTCTTGCTCTCCACGCTCACCTCCCAGACGCTTGCTGGACTCATGGTGTGTTCTGCCCTGGGCTGGGGCTGGGTTCTGGGAAGGACGGTGACACGCAGAGCCTTGAGGACAGGTGGTCTGATCTGGTGGGGACCCAGCGAGACAGGGGTCACAGGTCCCTGCAGCATTTCACCGGCTCAAATGCAGCCTCCAGGACTCCTGGGCGCTTGGCTGTGGCCTCCTCCTCCTCCTCCTCTCTCCTCAGGGGGCCTCCCATTCTATCCCATGAGCCCTTTGTCTTCATGGTCAGCAGGAAGTAAGCCATGTGTCTGGGCACACACAGGCCCCCTTTAAAGTACCTGAGTTCAAAACACACCTGGAAAGAATATTGTTTATCACACAGCACACAGAATCAGTAAAAAAGCCACAGCCCAAACGACTGAGTGCTCAGAAGTGATTTAAATCCTGTATGCTGGACACTACCAGACAGACAGACAGACACCTGCCACACGGACAGAGACACAGACACACATAATTCCCAAATACACAGACACACACAGGCACACAAAAATAAGGACCCACACAGGAGTAGCAGGAGGTGTGGCCAGGTCTGGGGTGCAGAGGGTATAGACCCAGGAGGGTGTGGGCCCACCGAGCAGACAGGGCTGCCGCTCGCCCCAGGAGGGGAGGTGGTGCATCTGCCCTGAGCCCCAGCTCTGTCCTCTCGGCCGGCTCTGTGTGCCCGCGTGGCTGTGTCTGTGTCAAAACCCAGCCTGGAGCTGGCTGTGTGCTGCGGAGGCTCCCCAGCCCAGCTCACTGCCTCTCTCTGTGTTCTTAAAGCTGACAGCCACTCGCCAGAGGCACGGGTATCTTTCTGAAACTGTGCACCCCGCAGTCCCCCAGACTTTCTTGTGCTCTGGAAAGCCAAGCCACCCTGAGCTGCTCATGGGCGAGGGCCGGGCCATCTGCCCGGGGGCTTGGCCACCGTCTCCAGCGCTGCTGCAGGGAGGGGCCGTCTGGGCAGTGTGGTGTGCTGTGTGCTGGGGTCCACACCCCTTCACCCCAGGGCTGAGCCCCACCCCTGAGAGACTCCCCAGTGGCCTTCTCTCTCCCGAATCGTGGGTGGACACACTATGTAGACTTGCTCTGTGGGGTCAGGGCCGGTGTGCCCCGGGACGTGCTGTCTCCTGTGTCGCTGTCGCAGGCTTCTGCTCTCAGGAGCCGTGGGGCGGGGGTGCCTGGACCAGGTACCGTGGGCGCAGGTCACAGGGTCCAAGCTGGGGAAGGCCTGTTCCACCGGGCTCACTAAAGATGCTCGGCCCACAGTTGACAGCTGTGACCCTGCCGTCAGGTGACTCACTCCTAAACAGAGCTGGTGGACCTTCTCCTTCGTACCGCACACAACAGAGTCCTCTGACTGCCCGCATGGTGGCCACCGTGACCACAGCTGTGGCCCTGTGCCGCTCATTGGGGGCAGGTACCCAGGTATCATACGTGATTGCTGCCGACAGCCCTGATGTGGCCCGGCTGCCACCTGCCCGGGGCGGTTCATGGGGGGAGAGGGAGCCCTGACGCCCGCTGACACCAGGGACAGGGCTGGAAGGGCCAGATGGGACATGGTGGCGGAGCCGAGGCTGGGACAGAGGCCAGCAGGACAGGGACGCGAGTGGGCAGTGTGATATGGGCCTGAAGGATGGGCCGAGGCCAACGGGGCCTGCAGGGGAGGAGCAGGTTGTGGATTCTCCCTCCCTTCCTCACGGGCCCGGCACCAGAGGCAGGGAGGGACGAGGTGCCCATGAGGACATTTCCCTGCCAGTTAGGGATCTGGGAAAGTGAGGATCACAAACTCCAATCCAGGGGGTGAGTGCGAACCGGCTTCCCATTTTAGGAAAGAATGAAAGGTGGAATTTATCCCCCACATCCAGCAACAGCCTCGCTCCCCGCTTCCCTGAGGGCAGGAAACGTTTGCTGCCAAGTAACGAGAACTCAGTTTTCTGGGGCAATTAGATTTTTTCTGCACCTTGCAAGAGCAAGCCAGAGCAGCTCAGATAATCTGCTTGGTTATCCCTGTATTCACGTCTGTAATCTAATTCAGTGGAGTTAAAGCATTATGAAAATCAGAGGTGCTAACTGAGCAAACCCAGGACCGCGGAGGTATGGAAAGAAGATCGTTCATTTTCACCCCACTCTCTCGTCCTCCACCCCCGAGGCAGTGCTGCCTTCCTGCTCCCACTGCCTGCCCTGCCGCTTCCTCCACCCTGGAGAAGCAGAGGTCAGAGCCCCTAGGCTGCCCACTCTTGGCCTCACCTGGGGACTGGACCTGGGTTCCGGGGGTGGAGGTCGGGCAGGAGCAGCTGTCTCGCCTGCCTTCTCCCAGGGCTCTTTCCGGGTCCGGGGCACCGTGAGGTCGGTGCCATGAAGGGTCCCCGTCCTCGAGCCGCAGGGAGTGCCGGGACGGACACCTGTCTGCGCTCTCTTCCAGGCGGGGGACAAGCACTACCACCCTTCCTGCGCGCTGTGTGTCAGGTGTGGCCGGATGTTCGCGGAAGGCGAGGAGATGTATCTTCAAGGTAAAAACCTACCCATGTGGCCTCGGCCCCCAGGGTCCACACCGCATGCTGGGCACAGGAGTTTGGGGTGGGCCGGCAGGGCTCACAGGGCCCAGGGCTGAGGCTCTCCCTGCCCCCGAGGGTCCCTGTGAGCCCACCACCACACGGGCAGAGGGTGCTCGGGAGCCAGAGGTGCTGCCGGCCACATGGGCCCCAGGGGCAGAGCTTAAACCAGCTCAGCTGCCATGGCCAGGCCTGCCTGAGAGTCCAGCGGGTCCTTGTTCTCTCTCCTTTATGCTTGGGACTCTGTTCACACAGCTTGTCTGAGTCTGCTGTTTCCCAGGAAACCCACCCAAAATAACCCTTATTCAGAGAAGTGCGCTGAGGTGGCTCGTGCTAGTCCCCTGGTCACGTTTCGGGGTGGCTTGTCCTGAACCCCTGGCCTCCATGAGCTACACACAGGTCAGGCTCTGCTTCACTGGGTGTGGCTTGGTCAGCCCTGGGCCCGTAAGTAGAGAAAGCACAGTGCGTCCAGACAAAAGGCCAGGGAAGGTTGTGGGGTCAGGACCATGTGACAGGGAGGAGGCCACAAGGCCACAGGGAGCCACAGCCCAGTGGAGTGGGCGCTGGAGACAGAGCAGCAAGCAGTGGGGGCGTCCTGCTGCAGCAGGGCCAGGGGTCACCAGGCACAGAGTTGGCCAGTGTCTGTGGGTTCTCACTAAACATGCTGAGCTGGCAGTACCGCCGGCATGGACAGACATCCACAGGCACACGGGGTGGGTGACCGGCCTGGAGGGTGCCCACAGGAGGCGTGGGCGGGGCTAGGCCTGGCCACACAGGAGGCAGGAAGCCCTTGTCCATCTTGACCGCCCTGTGGATGCAGGATACAGGTGTGGACAGGTGGGGCAGGGCCCGCACAGGAGGCTTGGGCCAGGCAGAGCGATGCGGACAGCTGACCCCACAGCCGGAGGAGAGAGGTGGAGGGCAGAGGCAGCAGGGGCTGAGGTGAGGGTGGAGAAACAGGCTTCACCAGCCACACTCCTTTGGGGTGACTGTCTCCCAGGGTCTCAGAGGCTGCAGGGCGTGGCTGGATGGCAGGCAGAGTGGCTGCAGCTGTGACCTGTGCTGTCCTGCAGATGGCCGCTGAGTGACCTCCCCGGAAGCCTCCGGCCTGTGTTCAGCAGAGCTCCCTTTCTGGGGCAACCCGGGGCAACATCACATGAGGCGGCCTTGTCCGCAGCCCATTGTCACTGTGGTCCCCAAGTGTGTGGAGGATGAAAGGCATCTATGTGCACGTCCAGCTGTGTGGGGCTGCCTGGCGGTAGGCCACCCGTGAGCGGTGCCCTCAGATAGTGCCTGGAGATGAGGAGCACAACAGCGCTCAGGACCAGGAGCTCACACCCGGGTGGCCTCGTCCCTGAGCACAGAGGCTCTTCACGCTGGGTCTGAGGCCAGCTCTGCCCATGTGGAACCTGCTGGGCATCCGTGGGTCCCTGGGTGCCCCACATGCTGGGGGGGGTGTAGCATTTGAAACTCTGCTCTCTGGGGGTGCAGGTGCCTTTGCCAGGGCCCTCTGGGGGGCAGGTCACCCCGAGACCTCTGCTTGGTCTCCCTGAGTGAGGCACTCCCCACGGCCTCCAGGCTACCCCAAAACCACCCCGCTCCCACTGGAGACTCTCGTGGTGAACACTGGGCCCGGGCCCAGACTTCTCTCAGCAGAGCCCGGCAGCCACATCGCCCCGTCTCAAAATAAAACGCAGAAAGGGCGGGGATGCAACTCAGCGCCCGGGTGCTGGTGAGAGCCAAGGCACGGCCCCTTCCCCGCTGCTGAGGGGCTGCAATGGGGAAACCGAGGCAGGACGCCACATGCTGGGGCATCAAGGCTCATGCACAGCCCAGGCTGGGGGAGCAGGAGCGGGCAGGGGGCTGCATTGCTGAGATGGGGGCACCACAGCCCCGTTACACCCGGCACCATGTGAGTGGGGCTCGGGGCCCAGCGGCAGGTGCAGGTAAGAGACGCCCGTGCCCCTCGGGGCCTGGGTCCCTAGCGTGCTCCTGTCCTGGAGGACGCCCAGCAGAGACTTCAGTGTGTGTAGTGTACTTTTCTGGGCTTCTATGCTTTTTAATGAGAAATGCCTAGTACTTCATACGCGTCCAAATTAAAGCAGTAAGTGTTACAGGCATGCGAACACACGGCATGGTCTCAGGGAGCCCTGTGCATGCAGACATTTGGGGGGTTATAACTTTCCTTCCCCTGGTCCACGTTCTGGGGGGCTGTGACTCGGGAGGGCGTGCAGTGCCTTCCCTAGCGCCTTCTGTGCCAGCCCGGGTGGTAGGTATGGGGGCTCCCGTGTTTGGGACGCAGCCCCTCCTTCAGAGGACCCAGGGGTGGGGAAGAGGACAGCCACGCGCTCAGCAAGGAGAGCGCGCGCCCGACTTTGGGTTGCAGGGAGAGCCAGCTGCATCAGCCTGGACAGAAAGCTGTGACTGTAGTCGGCAGCTCCATAACCGTCACCAAGTCCCTGTCTGCCGCACATTCCTCCACCGGACCAGGCAGGGCGACTTCCAGCCCTCAGTTTTACAGGGCCAACCAGTGCCTGGGCAGCTTCAGGCCGAGTCAGATAGGAGCAGAGGGCTGGGCGTGGGGCCCAGGGCATCTGGCGGCCTGAATGCACCGATGGTCTTGTCCGTTGACACGGTGGTGAGGCTGACAGGCCAAGAAGCTGAGGCCAGGCAGCCTCCGGGACCAAGCGAGTTGATGACGGGGGGCCGGGCACCGAGCTGGTGCAGAGGACACGTGCCTGTGGGAGCTGCTCCCCTCCGGCTGAGAAGCTCTGACACACACAAGCCCTCCTCCACACAAGCTGGCCGGCTGGGCCAGCGGGCAGTCAGCTGAGGCCACCGAGGCGGGCATAATGCCTGGACTGGGGTCGCCCGCTTACTCCCAGGGAGCAGTTGGCACCCAGGGTGCTTCTGCCCGTCAGTCTATGTGCCCAGGTGGGCTCGCCCTGACTGGCCCCTCTTGGCATCCGCCCACAGGTTCTTACATCTGGCATCCGGCGTGTCGGCAGGCGGCCAGGACTGAGGACAAAAACAAGGTTGGTAGCACCCCGATCCCCATGCATTCTTCTCGGCCAGGCTCCTTGGCTGGTCCCTCAGGCTGCGGTCCCAGGGTGCCAGGCCTGGGAGGGGCATGGTGTAAACACAGCCCCGGGCGAAGAGATGAGGGTCTCCAATGCCAAGCTGCAGGAAGCCTCACCTCCCCCATCCACGTGACAGGGCCCCTGACGTGGGTGTGATTGTCAAACGATTCCACCAATCTGCTGGTCCTTTGTGACGAGACGCTCCACCCTAAGTCACCCGGTTGGTCTTCTGATATGGCCAACCCCGCCCTAAACAAAGATGGTCAGTGGTGCCTGCCTGTCATCCCAGCAGCCTGGAGGCTGAGGCAGGAGGATCAAAAGTTAGATCCCAGCCTGGCAATTTAGCAACTTAGTGAGACCCCGTCTTAAAAAAAAAAGAAAGCGCTGGGAATGTAGCTCAGTGTAAAGGCCCTAGGGTTAATCCCCATTACCTCCAAAAAACAAAACAAAACAAAAAATGCTCCTGTTGGGCTGGACAGAGATGACCTCCCTGACCCCCCAGAAATCAAGGGCAAAGGCCAACTCTCTCCCTGGGCCCCCAGATTCTTACTGCTCTCGTGGGAGGGTGGCTGTGACCAAGGCCGGGGAGGGCTGTGTGCTCTGGAGCTGGTGCCTGGGAAGAGATTGGCTCAACCCCTCCACAGCCAGCAGGGCCATGGCAGCTGTCCACTGATCACACAGAGGGACAGCCTGGAGGGACAACTCTAGATGGCATGTTAGGGTTAGGGAGAGAGGGCTGAGGGCAGAAGGGAGTCACTGTGAGGGGTGGGGCTGGCCACTCGAGCAAGGGCCCTGTGGTCAGCGCCTTCCTGCTCACTCCCCCTGGGGCCTGTGGGGGCCTCACTTTGATCCCAGAATCCCCACTCCTGTGGGGTCTCTGCGCAGGGCCTTGTGAGCAGTGCTGGAGGAAGGAGCCAGGCTGGAGGGTGGTCTCTGAGGACCGGGGTGTGGCTGGGTTTTCCCTCACAGGCACCTGCCCTGCTGGGACCCTGGAGGTCCAGGGAAGGCAGTGGGCAGGGCCCTCCTGGTGCCAGGATGGCCGCCTCTGCCGGTGGAGAGGATGAAGAGCAGGGTGAGGGTGGGGGTGGGAGCCGGTTTAGGGGACACAGGCTAGCTGCAGAGAGGCGGCGAGGCTACGCAGTGGGGGCAGTGCAATCCCCTGGCTCCTGAGCCCCAGTGGCTCTGCGCCCCAGACGGTGCACCGGCCTCCCTGCAGCAGTCAGCCCTGTCCTCGTTGAGTCCTGCGGTGGCCAGAGTGGCGGGAGCTGCTGGCCCATGGTGCCCCCCGTGCCCCGCTCACACGGCTGCTCCGGTCCAGGACGCATTCTGCAAACTGCAGCTCCACCGCCCCAGCCCCTCGGAACCAAGTCTGCCACCCGGGATGACACCAACCTGACCCCTTGTCTTTGGCTCCTCTGTGTTGTCCCAAAGGACAGAGGCCCTCGGAAGAGACCTGAGGGCCAACCCTCGCACACGCGTGTGCCTGGGAACCCTTGTGCCCTGAATACAGCCGGAACTGGGAAGGCGGCCCACGGCCACAGGCAGCTCCCTCCGGCAGGGCAGCCTGCTCAGTCACAGAGCTCGGTGGAGCTGCAGGGAGCCTCTGAACAGCCCGGGGCCTCTTCCCGACCTCAGCGGGCAGGCGGCTTCCTGGCCGTGGGGTTTGCACTCTGAAGCAGGGCTGGGGCACTGTACCTTGGCACGGTGCCACAGCGGGCCTGGCTCCAGCCTGGTGCTCTCTCTGCCCAGCTGGTAGGGGACAGGGCCACCCTGCTCCCAGACAGTGACCGGACATGGCCGGGCAGGCCCTCAGCCCTGAGAAGTGCATTGCACAGGTGGCTGCACTGTGCTGCCAGGCATAGGACGGGGAGTGACTCCCCTGTCATTGGGCCCAGCAGCTGCTGTGACAGTGTCCCTCTGTGCTGGCCTCGGGTGCCCCGGGACCCTGAGGGACATGCCCTATCCCTGTCTGCGGCCTGCTTTGCGACAAGTATGGCTCCCACTGTGGGCACCCATGACAAGGGCCTCGGCAGATCTCAGCAGTGTGGCCCCGGCTGCCCTGGGCTCGTGATCCTGTGATCATTCAGCATGCGGCTGCCATGTGCCCACCGTGCAGGTGTGGAATCCGTGCCCAGAGCCCAGCAAGAGGGGCAAGACCTGTGGTGTCCACACCCTCCAGGGCCCCGTGTCTCGTGTGGGAGACGGAGGTGGGACAGGCGCTAGAGGGAGGGCCTGGCCCACGGGAGCAGACTGGCTGCTGAGTCCTGGCCCAGCCTGGTGCTGTCTGAGGAGTGGGTGCTGTGCAGGAATGAACGGCTCACAGCTGTGGCCAGGGGGCGTCTGTGCTGCTCTGGCCCTTGTCTCGTGGGGTCTGGACATGGCTGTCTGGTCTCAGGCCCAGGAGAATGCAAGATGTGCAGTTTCTCCGTGAAGCTCACGGGCAGGGCCCCCTTCTGCATGTCCCTGCTGGGTGCCAGGGACCCCGCATTCCTTCCCCAGAGCCGGCTCCACGGTGGGGGTGGAGGCTGCCCACGTCCCAGAGAAGGTAGCTGAGGCCCAGGGTGTTTTCAGGGTGTGGACTGGGGCCTCCATCTGCGCAGACAGCACTGGGGACAGGCTGAGGCTGCAGGTGGCAGCAGCCAAGTGCTGTGCACTGCCCCGGCCCTGGCTCAGCCCGCGGCACAAGGAGCTCGCGTGCCCTAGAGTGGACACCTGCTCTGCATATAGTGCTGGGCTGAGGGGAGGCGGGGCTCCTGCAGAGGCCAAGCAGGGGCGCATGGGAAAGGGGGAGCCTGGTGGCCTCACCTGTCCCTCCTCTCTCCCTAGATGCAGAGCCCCATGAACAGCCAGGCCTGCGTGGGCACCATGCCCTGTGCCTTACAGGTTGGTGCCCTGCTGCTCCCCGTGTCCGCCTGTCATGCTGGTGTTGAGCTGAGCACAGGAGGGGCTGCGAGGACCAGGACAGAGGCCTGCAGCTGGGGGCATCAACCACAGAGGCTGCTGTCTGGGCTGCAGGCTGAGGGCCCGTGTGTCTGTCTCCTGGGCTTGCAGACAGCGTCTTCTCCCAGTGTCCTTACACGGTCATCCTTGTGTGTGTCTGTGTCCCGACCACATCCTTTTGCTTTTCTTTTTTTGTCTCTTTGGGAGAGAGTGTCGCTATGTAGCTCAGGCTGGTTTTGAATTCTGAGAGATCCTCCTGCCTCAGCCTCCTGAATGCTGGGATCACAAGCGTATGCCACCATGCCTGGCAGGCGCTCCTCCTCCTCCTCCTCTGAGGACTGCAGTCAGATCAGAGGAGGCCTGTCCTGGTGACCTCGTGACCCTGGGGACCTCTGTTACCTTTCTCTACACAGGCTCACCCTGAGGTCCTGGGGTCAAGAGTTTGGGGTGTCCAGCTTGGTCCCTGACGGCACCTCTTTGGGGCTGGGCAAAGAGGCTGACTGGGCAGAATTCTGGGCAGGGGCAGGGGCCATGAGTCAGGGGGCATCCAGTACAGGTCCTGGGGCTGCTGGCCAGGAGCGATGCGAGTTCTCAGGGAGATCCTGAGGCGACCTAGAAGGGAGAAGAGGGGGCTGGGCCCCGGGGGATGCGGTGTGGGCACAGGAGGGGGAAGTGTGGAAAGGGACAGCAGGAAACCACCAGCCCAGGGCGCGGTAGGCAGAGGAGGGATCGGGAACCCCGGACAGCAGGGGGCGCTGGAGGAGGGCAGGGCAGGGCAGGGCATGGGAGGGAGACCAAGGCAGGCTGGCGAACGTGCCTAGCGCCCCAACCTCCGGGGAGTGGGAGGTCTCCTGTGAGGCCTGGGCCTGGGGACAGCATCTCGGGTCCCCCACATCTAGGCAGGAAATGTCTCCACACAGAGACAGTGGGCGAGGGGAACCTGCCTCATGGAGCCCAAGCAGCCTCGTCCTCCGAGACCCAGATGGCGCCACGCGGCAGCTCAGGATGCACAGAGCTTTTCCCGGAGGTGCCCGGCATGGCCGCCTTGCCTGTGGTCGTGTGGCCTGCTGTCTTGTAGACTTTGGCTTCCCGGGTCCCGTCTGTGCTGTTCATTGTTCTGAGGCCACTGTGGCTGCTGGAGCAAGGCACAGAGCTCCCCCCTCAGCCGCCTCCTCTCTGTTCCAGGAGACCAGGACGTCCTCTGAGAGCATCATTTCTGTCCCTGCCTCTAGCACATCTGGGTCTCCAAGCCGCGTGATCTACGTAAGTGAGGTCTCTGCCTGTGGGCAGGGGAAGGGACCCTGGGACCATTGCAGGTGCCAGGGGACTGCCGAGTCACGATGGGCAGCGGGGCTGTGGTGGGCTTCTTGCCTCTGCCTTGGGGCTGACTCAGCGCCAGAAATGTGAACGTATTTGCTTGACCTGCAAGGCCCCTGGGTGCTCATTCTCAGCTGCCTGGTACACAGCTGTTGATACAGCATCGTGTCCTGGCCTCCGTGGGTACGGGGTGCTCAGTGGGTGGGGTGCATCCTGAGTGCTCTGGGAAGGCGGTGTGTAAGGATGCTATGTCTTGTGGGGTGCATTTTCATAGTGTGTGTGTGTGCGCGCACCTGTGTGTGCATGCGAGTATAAAATGACCAGAAACATTGTAACCGACCGTAACCAGTGCGACCGTAACCAGTGTGGGATCGGATGGGGATTGCTGTCCGCCAACAGTGCCGGTGTTCAGAGCCGAAATTCATCTTCTCGGGAGCCCTGAGACCCAGGGTGAGGGTTGGCACACTGGGCAAGGAGCCCGGCACCTGGGCAGAAAGCCAGGTGAATGTGACAAGCCCCCTGGGTACCCTGCCTGGGAACCTCTGAGACCTCTGGCTTCCGCACGGCAGTGGGGCTTGGACCCAGTGTGTCTGTGCGGTCAGAATCCATGTTGTACAAAGCTGGACCCCGCACTGCCCCAGACCCTCCGTCTCTCCGTGGGTCTCAGTGGCTTGTCGCTTGCTGATGCTGGGGGCATTGAGGCCCTCTGGGGCTGCCCTACCGTCCAGGCCATCGGCGCCATGTGACCCTGGGTGTGGCGTGTACCTCTCTGGTCCCCAGAGAGCTCTGCACCTCACGTGGTTGCCCAGGTCTGTGTCCTGGTCTCCTAGCGACACCAGGGGACCACCATGCAGCCCTCCCTTCACGACCTCTTTAAAGGCCCGATTCCGGGCCCAGGCACTTCTGGATCCTGGGGCTAGGATGTCCTCCTCAGCATTCGGGGGGAAACAATGCAGCCCATAGCCCACATCGGCATTGTGAGTCACAACAATTGCACCTGGCGATGCTCACGCGGTGGAATCCACGGAGCGCCTGGCATAGGGCCCGGCTCAGGGTGGCTCTGGGAGGGGGCACTGCTGCTGTTGCTGGAAACCGCACAGCACGCAGGCCCTGCACGTGACAGACAAGGCTCTTTTACAAAAGCGAATCATACCCTGGTGTTGTGGTACACGCCTGTAGTCTCAGCACTCTGGGAGCCTGAGGCAGGAGGACCACAAGTTCAAACCCAGAATAGACAACTTAGCCAGACCCTGTCATGAAATGTTTAAAAAATTTTCTTGTAAAGATCTGGGGACGTTGATCAGTGCAAAGTCCCTGGGATAAACAACTAAGTAAGTAAGTAAGTGATAAAAAAGCGAACTGGCCTTCACAAAGGGCCTGGGTGCTGGTGCCCACACAGCTACGCCTTGAGTGGTGACAGTCACTTCCCAGTCCCAGCCCTACTTGTAGGGCCCAGCTGAGAGCGGCAGAGTGGGACTGCAGAGCCGCTCTGCACGGCCAAACCAGGGCGCCCTGCAGGGACCCTGCGGGCCCCGCTACAGAGAAGCTGTGGTCGGTGCCTCCGTCTCCCCTGGGCAGTTGCTAGTGCAGCTCAGTGCCCCCATGCTGCCCTGGGACCCCAGCAAACTGGGGCTGGATGGCGACCACAGGACAGTGCGGTGTTGGCAGTGGGGCCACAGGGACGAATCAGCCTGCAGACCTCCCTCCTGCCCAGCAGAGGTGCGGCCGATTCCAGTACTAAGTGCCCTGGCACAGTCCTGTGGACCCGGTGTCCTGAATCTGGAGAGCCGTCCAGGGAGGCACAGAGGGGCCGGCATCACACGGGGTGGGCAGGGGTGCTGCCTGCCCGTGTGTCCTCCTGAGCCACGTGCCCGGCCGTGCCTGCTCAGGGCGGCACCCGTGCCCCCACAGGCCGTGCACATCACCTGGGTCCTTCACCAGGAGGGCGACGTCCAGAGACACTTGGTGCGGGCCCTGCCCTGCCTGTCCTGCCTGCTGTTGACTTACTGTGTGCCCGCCTGGGCTCGGTGCTGGGCGCCCTCCACGTCCACCTCAGGTGCTGCCCAGTGTGGCCCCTGCTGGCCCTGTCTGCTGCTCCTCCCCAGACATAGCTCCCCTGACGACCCCAGGCAGCAGGTCCATTCCCCTGGTGCCCACGTGCACAGGAAGGGAGCAGAAGCCCTGGGGCTGCTGTGTCTTCACCATGGACCCTGGAGGTCCCAATGTTGGGGGTCAGAAATGCACACAGGAGAGACTTGATATGTGCTGCTTAAAAATGTTTCTGCAGTACTGGGAATCGAACCCAGAGCCTTTGTACTGAGCAACATCCCCAGTCCTTTTTTTTATTTTTAATTTTGCAACAGTGTCTCACTAAGCCATGAAGTTGCTCAGGCTGGGCTCAAATTTGAGATCCTCCTGCCTCAGCCTTCCAGGCCACTGGGATTATAGGTGTGCAACACCAGGCCCAGAAAAACAATCTATTTTACTGCCTTTTTTTTTTAATTACAAAAGCAGCGCATGTTTATTCTTAATAGCATAATGGTCAGCACAGAGGAGAAATGGACCCAACTCATCCCCCGCCACCTCACAGACCACGGCAGGCTTGTGGAGTGCGCCTGAGGCTCTCCTTTCTCTAGGTGCGATTGACTTGTTAGCAGTCCGAGGTCCTGCCCCACTCCAAGTTTCCTAACCTTTATCTGGCCGTGGCAATAAAGCTGAGGGTATAGCAGGGCAAAAGCAGTGGTCCTCCGCCGTTACTGCTGGCCACGCATGTTGCAGCTGTGTGTCATGCGTGGCCAGGCGATAATTTATTTTGTTGTATGCAGTACCAGAAAGAAGAAACCAAAGAGAAGAAGCGCCGGTGTACGCACACACCGCAGCAGCCTTCCGCCAGTTAGTGGGCATAGCATGTTGTCGTGGCAACCACCCAAGGAGCCAGCGCAGGAGGAAGTGGGTCCGGAAGGCCGCCTTAGCAACCTGTCTGTGGGCGCCAGCATCGCTTTAGCTGCCTGCTCAGATTCCTGCCAGGGCCAGGGAGGGTCACACGGGGGACCTGAAGGACAGGGACAGGTCTCACGGACCCGAGGGGCTGGACTAGCAAAGCCAGAGGTGGGGTGAGTGTGGGGTGCAGTCTGCAGTGTTGGCATCTGATGCCGTTCCTACAGGAGAAGCCCAGAGAGGATCCCCACTTCTAACGGCCGCATTGGTTTCACCTCTGTTTGTTGAGGTGCCCAGAGTGCCTGGGCTGTGTCAAGGTGAGGGTGGGGAGAGGGAGCTGGGGGAGGACTACGGGCAACAGACCCAGGTCAGCCCCTTATCCCAGAGAGAAAGATCGAGTTAGGTGGGGCCAGGAAACCCAAACCCAAGCGCAGGTTCCCTGAGCGCAGAGGGGCGGCTGGGAATTCCTGGCAGGCAGAGGCCTCGGCATCGTGGCACCAGCGCTGGCTCAGGACTTGACCTCAGGTGTGGTCAGACACAGGCTGCCCCCGGCCCGGCTCAGCAGAGCCTGGTGTTAGTCTGGGTCCAGGAAAGCTTCCTAGAGGAGGTGGGCTGGAGCTGCTGGCCCAGGGGAACTTGGCAGGCACTGGGAGGAGACGCCTTAGGGTAAAGAGGCTGCACTGCCCCCCCATCAGGGGCTGCCTGGAGGCTGGGTGTGGGGGACGTTGCTGGCAGCAGGACCTGAGGAAGCGGGGCTGTGACAGAATCTCTGTGTGGCGAGGGGCGTCCAGCCCAGAGCCACCTGAAGTTGGTGAACGGGCCCGGCCAGGCAGTGGGCAGGTGCGCAGCCTGGCAGGGGTAATGGAGGAGGCCGGGCAGGACCCAGGGCAGGACGTGCTCCAGACAGGTGGGCCTCACCTGAGCACATGCAGGGCTCAGACGAGTGGTCAGCAAGCACAAGGGAGGCCTGGGTGGCCAGGTGTGGGCCGGGCCCACAAGAGCCAAGGTCCTGCCCTCTCCTCCTACATTCCCAGATCCCTAAGGCCAGGCGTCTGTGCCAATATGTATTGTGTGTGCTCAGATGTGCTGAGTGTGTGTGTGTGTGTGTGTGTGTGTGTGTGTGTGGTGGGGTGATTGTGTGCACTCTATGTGTGTAGGTGCACATAAGTTTGTAGGCTTGCAGGGGGAGTGCATTTTAAGTGTGCATAAGCAAATGTACGGGCAGTGGCACAGATGCCAACTACTGGAGACCCCTGTGGTTAGGGTTTAGTATCCTGCCCAGTACACAACACAGGTCTGAGAGATAAATATTCGAAGATACAGAACTGAGAGAGACAGGACTAGGGATTCAGCTCAGTGATTCCACCACCCGCCTCACATGCACAAGGTCCCGAGTTCGACCCCAGATGCCAAAATAAATAAGTAGAGGCAAATTTGAAAAAAAAACTGAAACAGACCGAAAGCGGGGGACAGAACGACCAATGTGGGTGCAGCCGACCAAGGCCCTGGCCACCCCAGGCGCTGACTTCTCCTGGGGATCAACTTGGGTGAAGGCGAGCTGTGTGCGGTTTCTATGGAGATGAATGTGAGCAAGGCTCGTAAAGGACAGGACAAAGCAGTGTCGTTTTAGGGGCGGAACAGGCAGCTCCAGGGCTGTAATTGGAGCACTGTCCTCCTAGTCTGAAGGCTTCAGTTGTGGGAGCGGAACCTGGGTGCGAGTGACTCTGACCCCGGCACGTAGGCTTCGGCCGGGCTCGATCCTGTAAACAGCCGGTGGTGGGGTTCGCTCTCTGGCCTGCCTTGGGCATCTCAGTGTTCGGGTCCCCTGCAGGGTAAAGTGTGGGTGGCACAGGTGTGTGCCAGGGAGGGGGAGCGGGTGTGAGTGTGCTATGTGCCTCACGCCCTCTTACTCACAAAAGTGTGTACTTGTGTGTGTGTCCGTGCACCGGGATGTGTGCATGCCCTGCACTTCCATGCGTGCACACAGTGCGTAGCGCACGCATGTTCACACATTTGTATGAGCGCATGCATCTGTCCGTGTACACCTGCATGTTTACAGTCTGTGCACACAGGCGTGTGTGCATGTGTCTTCAGAGCATTGCACACGTGTGCAGCCAAGCTTTTGTATCGGAGCATGTGTGTGTGGCTGCATTAGGCACGTCTACTTTGTATGTGTGACCCACACATGTATTGGTGTCCAGACAGCATGCATACAGGTGCATGCTTGCACACACGTACATTCGTAGGCCTGCGCGTTTTCATGCACACCTGTGCTATGTGGGTGGGCATATACATGTGTGTTCATGTGTGTGCACACATATTTTTGTACCCATGTACAAGCTGTACACTTGCACTGAGTTGATTTGTATGCCTTTCACCTGACATGCCTGCGTGTGTGCGCCTGTGTGTGTGCGTGCCTGTGTGGCACACATCTGAGTGTGTGTGCCTCTGTGTGTGTGTGTGTGTGTGTGTGTGTGTGTGTGTGCGTGCGTGCATGCCTGTGTGTATGAGCAGTTAGGTCGCAGGGAGCCTCGCGCTGCCAGGCCCTGGAGCTGGCTACGCCACGATTTTCTGTACTTTGTAGCGGAGCCAGCTGAGGCCAGAGAGGACAGGATGCTCAGGCCATGTGGCTCTCGGGGCTGGCACCTGGGTCTGGTTGTGCCCAGCCTGCCCAGTCCCACCCCAGGGCTGATGGCCGGGCTCCTGCAGCCCCAAGAATCAGCGTTCACCTCACTCCTGGTGTGGAGCAGGGGCTGCTGGGGCCCAGGCCTCAGCGCCCCTCCCTCTGCTCTTATCCGCAGGCAAAACTCGGGGATGAGATCCTGGACTACAGGGACCTGGCCGCTCTCCCCAAGAACAAGGCGATCTACAACATTGACCGCCCCGACATGATCTCCTACTCCCCCTACATCAGCCACTCCACGGGGGACAGGCGGAGCTACGGCGAGGTACGGCCCTCCCGGGGGACACGCATGCCCGTGAGCTGGTCCCGCAAGGAGGCGTCCGCCCTCCCGTGTGCCCTTGCTGTCACCACATGGCCGATCCCGTGGCTCCCATCCCAAGACTTACCTGTGGCCCAATAACTCCCGGTGCTGTCTGACCACAAATCCCCTGGCGCAGAGTGAGTGGAGGAGCCGCTAAGTCGGGGTGCACCAGTGTGTAGGGTGAGGGACCCAACCTCTGCATTCACTGCACACTGGGGCACAAGGTGCACCCCTCACCTTCATCCCGAACACCCGGCCACACAGCGCCCCCACTTGCCGGCTTGCTGCCCTCCCCGGGGACTCCTCCAGCCACTTCACCAGCCTGGTTGGGCCAGATGGCCACCTCCTGATGTTCCTGGGGACAGTGGCAACTTCTTATTTGAGAATTTGCTCATCTTTTGTGGCTGCCTGGGGTAGGAGGGGCTGGTTCTGCTGTCCGTCAGCCTGGGTGTGTTTGGTGTTGCAGCCCAGAGTGGTCCTCTTGAGAAGGACCATGAGGGCTGAGCCCCCAGGGTGCTGTGCCTCGAGGGTGGAAGAGCCAGCCTGGCCACATCGATGCCCGGACCCCTAGACAGACACCGCACGCAGGTGGACACAGCTGACAGCTGTCTAGAGGGGACTGGCCCCCGCTTGCTGAGTGCCCCAGCTGACCAGGCCCTGATCATAGGGTTGGGCTCTGGGAGCAGCTGAGAGAGCTCAAGTCCCCCGGCTTCCAGGCCCCTGAGACCCCAGCTCAGACTCCCCCAAGAGCCTCCTGCTGGCTCTCTTTATGCTTTCTCTGGGAGGCAGTTCCTCTGGAGAGCCGGGTTCAACTCCTACTCTGCCCCTGGGCCCTGGGACACCGGCAGAGCCCTCACCATTGGTGCACTGACGTCCCAGACAGCCCCAAGATACCAGGCTGGGATGGGTGGACATGAGCAGAGGTCACAGGCCAGGTGCGGGTGTCCAGGGGCCCCAAGATGTCACCGAGTCATGAGTGGAATGCAGCATCGGTGCAAGTATCCTGAGCTGTCCTTTCTAAGGCCACGTCTCTCCGCAGACGCATGGCAAGTGTGAGCCACGGCAGTTCCTAACACAAGGACCTTTCCCCTGGGCAGGGCAGCCGTGTGGCCTGAGTCACCCTCATGGTACCCAGGCCTCTCCCTGGCCTGCTACAGGCCATACCTCTGTTCACCTGGCTGGCAGTGGGGAGTGTGGGTGGCCCTGGGGCCATTCTTCTCACCGGAGGGCCTCACTGCGGCTGCTGGACACACTCTAAGGTGACTGGTCACATTACCAATGTCCTTGCCACTGCTGTGGGGCACACTGTCACCTCCCCGGGAGCACACCCACACTGCACAGGTGAGAACAGGCACAGAGAACTCAGAGCAGGGCCTGACTCCGGTCCCTGTGTCCGGACGTCCCCTCCCTGCACCCACTGTCCCCAGGGTCCCTCTCTTCCCTGGCAGAGTGGCAGGATTGGTGCTGTCCTGAAGGTCATCATCACAGAGGGACCTGGCTTCTGCTCAGTGAGACGGACACTTCCCTGTGCCAGGCTAAGGAGGGAAATCGCAGGAGGAAAGCTCCCTCCCGTGACCCCAAGGCTTCCCTGAGCTCTAGCCCCGCCTCCCCAGGGAGGAGGATGCTGCTGTGAGCCGAGAGTCCTCCCTGCTTCATGGGGACCGATGTCCTCTCCCCTAGCCCTTGCCCCCTCCAGGATTTTACTGGGGTCCAGGCCCCTCGTGTCCCCTGGCCTCTTGCTGGACCAGGCCACAACTCTGTGGGTGGCAGGCAGTGCTCCGCTGGGGAGACTGACACCCATCTCTAGTGCTCCTGGCCTTCTTTCTGCTGCCCCGAGCTGAGGGAGCAGGGGCTCCTGGATGGGCCCCACTTCCCCGAGACACCAGCAGACTTCTTGGGGATATCTGTCTCCGCGGAAAGCGGCAGGCGGGGACCCCGCTGGGGCTGTCCTTCGGAGCACTCTAGAATCAAGCTTGCACCAGTCTGTGTCGGTCCTCATGGGGTCCCCTGACTGGGCCGCGTGTGGCCTGCCGGTCACCAGACGACCCATGTCCCCACAAGCGCCTGGTACCACGCACTAACAGGCCACTCTGTTGTGTCCACAGTCACCTCAGTTGCTCTCGCCAACACCGACTGAGGTAACCCGCCTGCCGCATGCTTGCCCTGTCTGTGCATGGCACTGTGCTGCCCACTTTGTAGAGATGACCAGAGTCAGGAAGGGCCTCAGTCCTGCCCCGGGGCTGTGATGCCTTCCTGCGTGGGTTATTTTTACGGTCGTGTCTCATCTGCATGTCCCCCGGTCTGCGACCCATGCCTGGGCCAGGACCTCTGAGCACCCAGGTGGTGGCCTGGGTGGTGGCGTCCTGGGTTAGCTTGGGTCCATGTGGACAGTGCCCAGGCCCTCGAGGGCCGCACTCTGAAAGTGCCCTCAGGCAGCCTTCTAACCCACATGGATCCGTGGTACTGGTAGCTGCCAGTCGGACTCGGACTCAGGTGGCTAAGGTCCAGGGATGTCACAGTAACCAGGAGGAAGGACAGGGACAACAGAGCACACTTGGGCCCTCGCTCTGTGCTGCTCACCCTAGAGGAACTTCTGTGATCTGTCCCAGTGACCCATGGAGAAACTGAGGTACCAGGAAGTCAAGTAACTTTGCTAGAGCCCCAAGCTATAGGAAGAGGCAGAGGAGGGTCCCCAGCCCCTCGTTCCAGACCACTTGTCCTGGAGCTGCCGCCACCTGGTGTCACCGTGGACACTCTGTAAATGACCAGAGCCGAGTGACCCTGTGCTGAGCCAGGCACTGTTACCTGCGGGAGACTCTGAGAGTGGCGTCGGCTGCCCTCACACAGGGCTTTGGGTCTCATCGCAAAGCCCCTCTCGGGCTGGGAGCCCAAGTGGACACCACTTCCAGGGCTCCGTGGGAAGCCGCACAGCCTGCAGGCATCAGGTCCAAGGGGCCACCCTGGCTGGGGCCTGTGCTTCCGCCCTCCCCATCCTGGGCTTCCCAGGCGAACCCTCAGTTGGAGTGAATCCCCTCACCCCTGGGCCAGGGCCCTCCCCTCACTTCTTGTAGCTTTGAGAACCAGAATCCTCTGCAGAGTCTCTGTGGTCCCCTTGAAAACAGCCCCAGGAGGCCTGGGAGGAGCCGCCCTGTGCCAACCCTGCTGCTGCTCAGTGGGACCCCTGGTACCAGGCAGCCTGAGAAAACCAGCAGGGGTCTGGCTCGGGTCTGGCTTCTCAGCCCACGGCAGCCGGTGGCCCCGAATCCAGGCTGGCAGATGGGACACCTGTAAGGTGCCCAGCAGGTGCTGGCGCTGTCCAGAGGGTGCACAGGTTGGAGGGGCAGCTTGTGACAGATGTCAAGGCCAGGGTGGGATAGCCTGGGCTCAGGGAGGAAAGGCAGGAAGAGCCCCAAGGTAGCGGGAAGAGGACATGGCAGACCGAGGCTCGGCAAAAGCCTCACAAGGAAGCTCAGCTCAGACAGGCCGGGCAGCCAAGGCCCCTACCAGGCCCCTCCCGTGCCCAGTGGCAGCCACCCCTCAGTGGGATGCCAGGCTAGGTTGGCATGGCCCAGGCCACCATGCCATGCTGCAGAGGGCCGGCCAGCCTGCTGCCCCTGCCAAGTATGGTACCATGTCATGCCACTGCTGTGACCGCTCCTTGCAGCGCCCCCTGCTGCCTGGATTGGGCTGTGCTCCTTCAGCTGGGCTACTGGACCTGGCAGGGTCCCTTCTACCCTCTGACAGTGACCCCAGAATGCACACATGGGGAGTCCCCACTGGGCTGGGCCATCTCTGGTTCTCAGACCACCTTCCGAGGAGCCCTAGGTGACAGGGATGGCCGGGCAGAAGGGGAAGGCCACATTCTCCTCCTGCGAAGTCCTAGCCCACAGGATGGGCAGGCAAGGGGAGGGGAGGTGCTGTGGACGCAGGGGCCACGCCTAGCCCTGCCACCAGCCCACCTGGCTCCTCCTGCTGGGGCCAGGAGGGTGGGCACCAGTGGGGTGGGCAAGGGTGGGCAGTACCCAGGGTGTCCGTGTTCACCAGCCCATGTCTTCCCTCCCAGGGGGATCCGGACGACCGGTCCTACAAGCAGTGCCGGACCTCCAGCCCCAGCTCCGCTGGCTCCGTCAGCCTCGGGCGCTACACCCCAACCTCGCGGTCACCCCAGCACTACAGTCGCCCAGGTACTCGGACCTCTGGTTTCTCCGGCCCTGGGGGGAGCTGGACTTCTTGCTTTGCCCTTCTCAAGTGGCCTCCATGTCAACCAGAAACGTGGCGGTGGAGGTCGCCAGTGGGGGGCGACAGAGAGCCCATTTTGTTAGCAATGTAGAAATGAAAAGCAGCTAAAGCTGGGTGGTCCTGTGGGCTAGCAGAGCTGCACACCCTGGAGTGGCGTCGCAGGAGGCATACATGAGCCCATGTGTCAGGACTGGAGATGCCGGGGAAGCAAAGAGCACAGAGGCAGGAGGCCAGACGCAAGCCGTCAGCAGGGCAGACGCAGGCTGCGGAGGAGGAACCGGTGGCCCCAAAGGAGAGTCCAGATGTCTGTGCTCTTCACCCGGAGACAGCCCTCCCACCAGGCTCTCCCAGCCAGGGTTCGGGGAGGGTCCTCCCACCCACCTCACCTCCTTCCCGGCTGCCCCCCACTGCGGCTGCTCCCCAGGACTGTGACGCTCCGCCCCGCCTGTCAGGACCTCAGGGACGATGCCTGCAGGCACTGCCTTCTCAGTGACTTTTCCAGGCCGCTTCCTTCCTGGCCAGCTGTGCATGACCCATTCACATTCGTGGGCTACAGCTCTCATTTTTGCAAATTTTGGAAAAATCAAACCCGTCCATTTGCAAAGTCATTTCACTGACTCCTTGCAACGCATGTGGTACCTCTCGCTCAGTAAGGGTTAAGAGACTGGCGAGGGAGGGAGTGGGTGAGTGGATGGGCGATTAGGCGCACAAGCAGGTGTGCAGGAGGTCAGTGAGTGGACGGCAGTGGCTGACCCCTCAGATCCTTCTCCCCAGCGCCACTGCTGCCTGCCCTGGCCCCTGTGTCACAGGAAGACCCGCCTTGCTGACTGCTGGGCCCAGAACTAAGTCCCAGAGAGCCACGACCATGTCCTGGCTGCTGTGGCCAGTGAGGATGTCGGGAGCAGATGTAGCTCCAGGGCTTTGACCCCAAGGAGCCCCCCAGAGTGGAGCGCCGTGGCCCAGCAGCCCGGGGCCCATCACCCTGTCCCCTTGAGGGTGGGTCACCCGCATCTGCAGGGGCATGGCCAAGGGTCTCCTTGGGGATCCCCTTCGGGTGCCTCAAAGAGATATGCATGCCCAGAGCTAGGAGGCCCAAATGTTCCTAGTGGAGGGGGACTAGGAAGATTTGGGGCTTTGTGCTGGCCAGTGAGCCGGGCTGACTGACCTGCTCTCTTGCCCGCAGCTGGTACTGCAAGCGTCGGTACCAGTAGCTGCCTCTCCCTGTCCCAACACCCAAGCCCTACCTCCGTGTTCCGACATCATTACGTCCCCTACTTCCGAGGTAAGGCGCCAGGCTGGGGGCGGGGTGCCTGTCCTGTCGCGCATGGTCCCCTGGCCTCTGTCTCATGCCGTGTCCCTCGCTGTGTGTCTTGTGCTCTGGTCTGTTCCTGTCAGTGTGTACGTGTTCCCAGAAGGAAACGCTGGTGCCCATCACATGGTGCCTCAGGCAGAGGGCACGGGGTGGTGAGGATGTAGATGCCTCCCCAGTGCCTTCCCATCCTCTGCCCACGTTGGCCCTGCGGGGATGGCACTGTGCTGGGGCTGGGGCTGGGGCAGACACTGCATTGTGGAGAGGCCATGACGCCCATCGCCTGGGCTCCCGGGCGCAGGGCTAGGCCTCAGTCTGCATGGCTCCAACGCCTGGCTCTAGCCGGGACACAGGCCCGCCCGCCGTCCACATCCCCTCACAGACACGTGGACAGGCATTCCCAGCCTCGTGCCTTCCTGTGCTGAGGACTGAATGGGGTCCCCCATGCCCTGAGTTAAAGGCCTGACCTCCCAGGACTGTGGAGGAAGGACATTCAGAGAGGTGCCCAAGGATAGAAAGCGTAGGTGGTCACAGTTGTCCACCAGGGCTGGAGGCCTTGAGTAGCCGGGTGTTGGAAGCTCGGTTGCCAATGGGCTTTGGAGGTGCTGGGGTCCCGAGGCCTCTGACTTCATCAGTGCTGGGCACACTGCCTCGAGGTGATGGGAGTAGGGGTGGGGCCTTGGCTGTCCCTGGCCCCTTCCTCTCTGGAGCTTTCACCCTCTGCTTCTGGCTGCTGTGAGGTGAGCGGCTCTCCCCACCACGCCCTTCACCGAGCTGTTCCTGCCTCGCTTCAGGCGTGAGGCAGAGAGTCATCTGGCCGTGGACTGAGGTGCTGCAGCCTTGAGCCAAAGTACCCTCTCCCGCTTCAAGTGCGTTACGTCGGATACTTTGTCACAGTGACGAGAAGCTGAGCGAGGAAGTTCCTGTGTAAGAACAGCGAGTGGCCCAGACGCCGCTTGGTGCCAGGAAGACAGGAAGAGAGGCCTCGTGGGACTGCACACCCTGCCACCCTGGGCTGCCACTTCCGGACCCCGGAACTCTGGGGAGACACATGCTGTGGAAGGTCCTGCTCTGTGGGGCTCTGTTACGTGGCCTCACTGACAAAGACAACAGAAGGCAGCTCGGCATCAGAGGATGTGGAGACACAGCTGTGGCTCCGTCCACATCGCTGCAGGGTGGGCGGCGCTGGGTCTCCTGTCCTGGGGAGGGGGAGGATCCCTGTCACTGAGGGTCACCGGATGGGGCCCTCTCGCTCCTGTGCATTTTAATCCCGTGCTTCCATGGAGAAGATCCCGGCCGTGGGTCCTGCTGTCTCACCCCTCCCGGGCGTCCCTGCGGCTCCGTCTCCGGTGGCCACTGACTCCTTGGAGAAGCAGCAAAGCCCATCACTGTGCATCCCCAGAGCAGGAGACACTGCAACCATGTCATCTGTGGCCATGGCCCATGGAGAACCCACAGCAAGGGCGCAGGCCCAAACCAGAGTGCTCAGGGAGCTGCGGTCACCCCGGCTGACGCCACCCCTCACTTTACTCCAGGCACACAGCTGTCCTCCCTGCCCTGGTGGCTGTCACACTGTGGAGCCCTGGTGGTGTGTGACCAGAGACAAGGGCAGCCGTTGGGCATGCGCCATCCACACTCCCCCTGGGCACCCAGGCTCTCGGCGGGGTGCGTTTCTCATCCGCACTGGAGCTCTCGCCCCTCCAGGGTGGGCCCTTCTCTTCTGCCGGTGGCCCCTGCTCAGTGAGGAAAGGCCAGGGGCAGGTGGCCAAGGCTGCCAGTCCTCCCTGTGGAGGGCGCCCGCCCACCCACGGAATGTGCATCAGAGGCCACCGCACGGCAGCCTGCTGCGTGTGGGAGGCACCGCCTTGGAGTCTGTTCTTTGCGGGGCGTGGGCACTGCCCACGGGTGGCTTTGGTGCTACCCCATGCTTTGGTCCCTGTACCTTTGCTTAGCCCCCGGAACACCGCTCTCTCCATACCCGTGCAGGGCAGCCTGGCACTTGTGGCTCTGTCTTCCGCACAACTTCTGTGGCTGCCTGTGACCTTGATGCCCCCAGCTATCCCCAGAGCTTGCCCCAGAGGGGACCAAGGCACAGAGAGAAGCCCCCAGGATGGGAGGGGAGGAGAGGGCCCAGCTGGGAGCTTCAGTGGAGCCTGCGCCCCACTGACTCCACTACCTGTGGGCGCCTTCCTCTTGCCGAGCGCCCCTTCCTCGTAATCCCTGGGCCTCGACCTCACAGGGTGGTTATGGTCGATGATGCAGACAGGAAGTGGCAGCATGGGGCCCTGCACACAGACCCACAGGCGTCCTGACTGTGGCCCCAACAGGCCCTGCTTTGCTGTCACCTTGAGGAAGGTCGCGAAGAGCCACCAAGCACAAGGACAGGGCAGGCACAGCTGGAGCAGCGAGGCGAATGCTGTCATCCCAGGCGTCCGTGAGGTGCCACGGGGACTCTGAGCCCAGACTGCAGGAGAGGAGGCCTGGGGTAGACACGCGTCCGAGCAGAAGGACTCAGTGTGCGGTGGCACCATCGAGGGGTGGCCTGGCTCCCGGGTGCAACACCTCCTGTTTGGAACGGAGAAGAGGAAGCTGCGGAGAATCCCACGAACGCCTCCCCGCCAGGCCTCCCCACCAGCATGGTGTCCTGGATGTGGTGGCACGAAGGGGAAGGGGACAGTGCCGCTGTGGTCTCTCTCCCCGGGCCCACAGCCCAGTGTCCCCACAGGCAGGTGTGGACAGAGGATTCCCAGACCCAGGATGCTCTACAGCCAGCACTCCTCAGAACCGGCACCGCCATCCAAACCGGGGCAGCCAGTCACTGCCAAGAGGACGCTTGGGCTGGTGAAATGTGCCGTCCCAGTGGGGTCCTGGACAGAGGAGGACATCAGGAAAATGGGTCATGTCCACCTGAATGGTGCCGTGAGGGATCAGCCGGGGCCGGGCTGGACTGGGCGTGCAGGGACCTCCTGTGTGCCCCAACCTATTCTAGTTTTAATTGACAACTTATGTCAACTGAAGTGAAGACGAAAGTGGCTTCTGCCGACCGCGCCTCACCCAGGATGAGGGACACTAGGACCCCCGGCAGATGCCAGGAGCCCAGGGCGCAGCCCTGCCCGATGGGTCACACGCTGTGCCAGAGAAGGCTCCACGCTGGCCACCGTCACTGGCCTGGCAAGGTGTTCTCACCAGTGTCCTGGGTCTCCACCTGCAAGGCCCAAGGCGGAAGCTGGCTCGAGTGGGGAGCAAGCCTCTCCCAGGACAGGGCCCTGGGTCCCCTGGAGCTGGCACAGGTGACTGCTGCCTCAGCGCCGTTGTGGGTGTGCTGTGACAGGACCCAGGGCTCCGCTCGGTGGCGCACTGGGTTTGGGTGCAGCCTCGTGGGGACAGGCAGGGACTCTGGGCCCTGTGCCTGGCCAAGAAGGCCAGCCCAGCGGGGACCTGGAAAGGGTACTACAGCGGCGTCAGCAGGGGCCAAGGTGGCAGGATTCAGCGGCAGTGGCAGAGGCCCCACCAAGTCCCCTGGGCCACCAAGGCTGTGCCTCAGTCTGCCCTTGGTCTCAGCCCTCTGCAGTCTGATGAGAACCGTGGGTGCTGCTGGGTCAGACGTGCACCATCACAAGGGGGCGCTCCTGAGGTGGGGGTGTGCACACACGCTCCTCTCTGGCCCTTGCTGGGCTCCTTGGCCACCAGGAACTCTTGACTGAAAGACAGAGCCGAGCTATCGCAGCCCCTGATTCCTGAGCGCCAGGCTTCTGCTGAAGCCCTCCTTCTGTCCTTGGGGATCTATGGTTTCTTTCCTGGAATGTGGGCCAGGCTCCCTGGTGCAAGGCCCCGGTTGCCACCAGGGGGCGCAGGAGCCCGTGGCTGGTGAGGCCCAGAGGGTCTGTGTGGTTCTGGAGGGAGGCGTCCAGGGACAGAGTCCTCTCAGCCTCCATCCGCAGCTGCAATGCCCTTCTGCAACCCCAGTGGCTCACCCTGCCAGGCGAGGGCTCCCTCCACCCCTGCGAGCCCACGGGGTCCCAACAGGTCCCCTCCTCAACTCATTCCTTGGCAGGGTCACTCATGGTCCCAGGTGCAGAGCACCCCACCACTGAGCTGTCCTGTAGTGCCCTTCGGGGTCCCTGGGGCTCAGAGAGACAGCTCGGCGGTGGGGGGTATCTCGAGTGACCTCAGGCCTCCCGTCCGCGTGTCCAGTGCGTGGCATCCCCTCCATCACGCCATCCTTACATTGTGTGGGGTCACGGGGTGTTCCCCGGGCAGCCCAGCCACCTCCACCTGTGACTGCTAATCCACCCTCCTGCCCAGAGCCGGAAGTGAGTCCAGCCAGGTCTGTAGGGGCGCGAGTGCTGCTTGACACAGATCTTCTCTCGGTCTGTTGCTGCCAAAATTCCTCAGTAGCTTTTGAAGCCTCTTCTGCCACGTTTGGCCCTGGAGCCCTGTTCTGTGGCAGTCGGTGGGTGCTGCATATTCGGGGGGCTGCTCCACAGGCCTTGGTGCTGTGCTTGCAGGGCTCTAGGTTGTGGCCAGCCACGCACAGGGGCACTGGGGTGTGCACATCAGGCTTACGGGCCCACCGCCCCGGCACAGCGAGCTCTCGGCCCTGCACCCAGCTCCTTCAGGGAAACTGAACACTCTGCTCAGGGTTGGGTTAGCAGTCAAGGGCCCAGGCCGAGGGTCGCGTCACCACCGTCCCGACCCAGGCAGAGGGCATGGGCTGCTCGTCCGCATGGAGAGGGTTCCATGCCGTCAGCCCCTCGCTTCAGAACCTGTTTGCTTTTCTGCCTTCCTGCCGTCCCCGCCCTTCCGTCTGGAGGCAGCGAAAGTGGCCGGAGCACGCCCAGCCTCTCGGTGCTCTCGGACAGCCGGCCGCCCTCCTGCACCTACCAGCAGGCCCCACGCCACTTCCACATCCCAGGTAGGTCCCTGCAGGTGCTCTCAGAGCCCTGCTGTGCCCGCCCCAGTCCCCAGAGCTCTGAGCCTCGGTGTGAGCCTCTCCCCATGCCCCCCGCCTGCAAGCCTTCCTGTCCTCCTGGGATCTGGAGAAAAGGCCATCTGTGCCCTCCCGGCCGCCTCTCTCCCTTCCCCTTCAAAGCAGGCGGCATCTGGAGCAGGGGCTGCTTGGTCTGGGTGTGGGGCTCCAGCGCCAGACCCTTCCTGTGATTCTAAGTCTGGGCCACTGGGCAGGAATCATCACAGTTTGCTGCTTACCCTCCTGTTCTCTCCTTTCTGTTTCTCTCTCTTCTTTCCCAGACACCGGCGTAAAAGATAACATCTATAGGAAACCCCCTATCTACAAACAGCACGGTACAGTCGGCGCCGCTGCCGTGGCTCGCCCTGCATGCCTGTCCCCCGCTCGCTTCTGAATGCGTCCTCCGCTGGGTCCCCACTGGTGTGGCGCAGCGTGGGCCCTGGCTGTCTGGGTGCAGATGTGCTCTCCAGTGGGTGCTGGCAGGCGCTTTCTCTAAATGACAGCGGGCTCTGGTGGGCTCTGGTGGGCTCCTAACCCAGCACCTCTGAGCCACAGTCAGACTGGCCCCAGCCAAGGTGGGAGGGGCAGTGGCTTCCCAACTCATTTTTTGGAAAACTGAACAGCCCCAAATGCCACCTACTGACACCTCAGTGGGAATTTAGATCCCTGTTTTGAGAATCCCTGACAACAGCACACAGTGCCTGGCCTACTGTTAAAGGGGCTTCTCGCCTCAGCGAACGGGCTGGAGGAGTTGGTCGGTGAGGGCGTCCTGGTCTTTGGCCCCACCTCTCCTCTCCGTGTGAGCCCACCTGGGACAGGTGTAGAATGCCCCACAGCCCAGACCACGGAGCAGGAGACCCGGGTGGGGTGTCTGAGACCCGGGCTGTTGCTCTGCTGCCTGAGCCTCTGTCTCCTCGTCTGCGGTCAGGACCCGGGCCCCCCACCCTGCCCTTTGCCCAGGCTGCTTGTGAGGACCTCGTGTGGTGACACCAGATGTGAAGCCGCAGTCCAAGCCTGGCGTGGCTGTGCGGGCAAGAGGGCTCCCCCGCCTGAGGGAGCAGCCGCGGCCCGGATGCGCCCTTAGGGTGGAAGCCCGTGAAAACTCCCCCCGTGGCCAGGGAGCGAATCCAGCCCCGTTACAGGGGTGTGGGGGCAGTTCTGCTTCTCTTTCCTCTGTGGTGGCTCCCTGCTCTGGGCCCTGTGCGTCTTGCTGTTCAGAGCATTATGAGTTTTACCCGAGGAGCCTGACCGGAGTCTCCTGGAGGGATCAGCAGGGATGGCAGTCAGGTAGCCAGACTGCCAGACCAGCTCTCTTGTGTTACGGGGAAAACTGAGGCCTGCCCCAGGAAGCAGCGTCCTGTGAGTGTCCCCATGGCACTGTGCTGGACAGCCTCTATGGACCCGTGTGTCCTGTGAGCCGAGGCTAGATGACTGGTGGCCCTTTTAGTAGGAGCGATTAGCTCCAGGTCTCGGGCCGGGCACCACAGGTGTGTGCTGGGCGCTGCAGGGGACAGCTGTGGGACTGCCCACCAGCCCTGAATGCCCGCGCAAGACACGGGAAGGTCAGGGGTGCTAGGGCCATCTTTGCATTTATAAATAGTTTCTGGATGTAAGCATAACTCCCGTCCAAAGGCATTGCAACTCTTTTTTGTGCAAACCCCAAGCAACTGCCAAAGCCCTTTTATCATCACTGAGTTCTGTTGCATCGGTTCTTCCGTGACGTAGATCTTACAGTGTGCTCTCTCTCACTCCATCTCTCCCCCCTCCCCAAGTATTTGGCCATGGCCTGAGGCTAAACATAAGCAAAATCTGTCCCTGGCTTGCATGTAGGTGGACCATATAAGTCGTATGTCGTTGTGGCCAGGCCTCCTAAAAGAACCCTCAAGACTGTGAACTAGGTGTTTGGTTTCCAGCCTGTGCACCCCACGCGACATTTTGTTTTTACAAGACTTTCCTAGTCTGGGGGCTTAGATCCTATTGGAAGTGTGTGCAAATACATGGGTGCCTGTGTGTGCACACGTGTGGTGTGTGCATGCATGCACGTGTGTGCCCAGCTCCAAGCTCCATCGGGGTATCTAACCCTCCAGTGCCCTCTGGGGAGAGGAGAGAAGGATCAGTCTGAGGAGCTCCCTTTTAATCCCCACCCACCGGGAGCAGACTGTGGGAGAGGAAGTTGAATTACCAGACTGTCTGATTTGCTGGAGATCATGGGAAAGCTTAAAACCTCCAGGCCCTGTGACTGAGGGACTGGTATCGCTCCATCGGGTTTGCTGTGATCATTGCTCCTCCCTTGAGCACTGGGCCTCGGCCCGAGGGTGTCCAGACGCGGTGTTGGGGACAAGGGTGATGAGCGTCAATAGCAGCCACTTAACGTGCAGCAGCCGCTGCTGGCCTTGCTTCCTCTTGCCACCCCTGATGCTGCGATCGGCACCGGGACGTGTGTGGCCCTAGGGCCGGACAGTATCTCTGCACTGCTCCCACCCCACCTGGTTATAGCTCCCGGCTTAGGAAAAAAAAGGAGAGGAATGGGAAATGACAGGAAAGAGGGCAGACCCCGCCACATACCACGGAGACAGACGGGTCCAGAGCGTCTCTGCGTTTGTGTGTTCCGGGGTCACCCACGGCATGGGGCCGCATTACTTGTAGGAGGCGCACAGAGCGAACCACAGCCCCTCCACTTCCGGCCGTGGCACAGGGCTAACTCTCCCTTCCTGGGGGTCCGTCTCCTCATTTGCGAGAGTGAGGCCACGTCGCTTGTGGCTTTGAGGAAGTGTCTGGGAGATGGCCCTGGTGCTGGGACACAGTGAGAGGCTGGTGTATTAAACTGTATCCGATGGGTTCCCCATGGCGTCCCCAGAAAGCTCGGCGTCGGCCCGGAGGACCCTGCGTTCCCAGGGTCACCCGCCCGCACCAGACAGTGGACCTGACAGGCCTTTGGTCCTTCAGCCCCACTGAAAACAGGAATAGACTCCTTCTTCCTACGCCACTGGGGATCCTGTCTTGGGGAGCTGACTCTCGCTTTGGTTTTGGGCTCATTTCTTGGGGTGTGAGGAAAGGGCAGGGGATGGCAGGCTCTGCATCCGGGCAGAATGTACAAGGTCTTGCACCAGCATGGGGACACCTCAAGTGAGGTCCTGAGGCACAGGGAATGACCCAGAGGCTCACTTTCCCGAAGGGCTGCTGGGGCACAGGGTGCTGCAGCCTCCCGTGATCCGCAGGGCACGAGACTCTTAGTACAGACCACAGACAGAGAGCCGGTCACCAGGAGGGAGCAGAGAGCGAGGGCTCGAGTCACCACCGCCACTTTCCTTTCCTTCTGGTGCCACTGTGGGACCTAACATCACCAGTGAGAAGGTGTCCTGGATCTTTAGAGAAGGAGCCAAAGGCTGGGGAGGAAGCGACCTTCGTTATCCAAGGAATATTTTCTAAGCTAATGTGCTGGGCTCTGTCCAGTGCTGGGGACACATGGCTGTGTCTGCTGGAGCTGAGACGCCAGGGGCCAGGCACAGCACACACACACACACACACACACACACACACACACACACACACTCTGCTCATTCTCTCTCTTGGTGGAACTCTGATTTAATTTCAGTTGCAGACAGGTGTGGCTTTGGGAAAATCAGGATAACCAATAACTACACTGAGGGGGCTTCCTTAGAAGCCAGGTCTGGAGGTGGCCAAGGGAGGAGCAGACCCTGCAGCCACCTGCAAAGCCCTAGGGTAGGTGTGGTGCTCTGTTTTGCCAGGGCCTGAGCTCTGGCGAGCTCCTCCCCTGGCCAGAGAGGACAGTGGCCAGGACGGCTCTGAAGCTCTGCCAGTCCCCGGAAAGCCAGGGCATCCAATAAGGAGGTTCCAGCAAGTGCTCACCAGATTCATGTCTCTGAGCTGAACTTCTCCCCCATCACAGCCCTCGTTACAGTGTCCAGAAACCTCCTCCCCTGCTGCCTCACTGGACACCATCACAACAAGAGGCACATAGAGGGGTAGAAGGATGAAGGACGGGTGGAAAGTTAGGAGTACGTGAATAGTAGAGACAAGAATAAGAATGTAAAAGGCTGTACACGTAGATGTTTAAATTATCAATGAGTCCTGAGATGTGGTGTGGGAAGGAGCGAAGTCCGGCCTGCTCCGTATCCGGGGAGAAAAACGAGACTCAGGGATATGGGGGAGGGGTCCCCCAGGCAGGCGAATCCCCAGGCTGAATTGATCTGTCTTTTCCTGACTCTCCAGGAGAGCCTGCTACCACTTAGCCCCCTCGCCAGCCCCGTGTTTATCCCTAATTCCTCTGGATCTGTCTGTTACTCCCTCACTCACCTCAGTTATCTCATGTGATCCTCACAGCCTGTTGGAGGGGAGGCAGGCATTGTTCACCCGTTTCCCAGATCAGGAAACTGAGGCTCAGAACCTCCAGGAAGCAAGCTGCCGATCCTGCGGAGTGCCATGTGCAAATCCTCCTGCCAGGCTCCTTGCTCCCGAGAGAACCCATCGCAGCTTTGCGGGCTGGTACAGGTGGCTCTGAGGTGCTCCTGGCTGAGCTTGGTCCCTGCGGGTGGAGTCTGCCGAGTAGCTGGCCAGACTTTAGCAGTGTCCCCTCCTGGCCAAGGCGGGGCCGTCCGGAGCCCTGCGATAGCTCTGTGGCCAGCTTGCACGGCCACCCCGTTGTCCACAGCCATGGAAGGTCTTGAGACGCCCGCGGCCTGAGAGGTGAGGGCGGGGACTGCACACCCAGAGGCGCTTTTGTTGTTTCCAACTTGCAGGTCAGCCGGAGTGGCTGCCGCTCCAGGTCCCTGGCTTGCAGGAGGTGGATTACTATGGCCATAGCCTTGGTCCCAGGGGCTTTGCCTGCAGGGACAGTGGCCTTGTGCGCAGACCTCCAAGTCCCCTGGCCCGTTCTCCCTGGGATGTGGTGGGGGGCTGCCATGCTGGGGCTGATGTATGGCCACACTCAAGGCCAATGCTGTCCAGCAGCAGCCCTGAGCACCCAGCTGCTGGGCCTCCATCGGCCTGTGTGCTCGCTGCCCCTGTGTCCCCACCACAGCCTCCTTGGCAGACTCGCCATCAGCTCGCCTCTGGGAGTAGAGAGCACGATTTCCTATTTCCACTTGAAAGTCACTCTTTCCTAGAGAGCAGTGAAGCAGGGGCCATAGAGCAGGGAAACGTCCGTGTGTGCAGAACGGAAATGCTCAATCTCCGATTTTGGCCTTATCTCGTCAAGGTCCTGTAGCCCAATCCCCAGTGTCCAAGCTCTCTGGCCTGGTGTCAGTGTTGTCCTTGGTGGTGCAGGAGGCAGGGCGCTGCAAAAGACTGGCAGGGCCCAGCCCGCCCCTGGCTGCAGGTAAAAGCTCTCTGCCCGTGTCAGTGTTGTCCTTGGTGGTGCAGGAGGCAGGGCGCTGCAAAAGCCTGGCAGGGCCCAGCCCGCCCCTGGCTGCAGGTAAGAAGTCCACGCCGGCGAGCGTGTCCCACCCAGACCTGGGCCTGCGCGGGCTGGGCAGGAGACCAGGTTCCGTCATGCGTGCATGTGGCTGGCGCCCTGGCTCGGGGTCTGCGCTGGCTGCCTAGATGCCGGACCTCAGCATGCCTTGTGTGGTTCGCTGGTTGAAATCGGGGCAGCCCTGTGGGGTGCCCTCCCCCCACACTGCATGCGAAGTGGACGCTTGTGTATTTCATCGAGTTCATTTCCGGTTGTAGTTTTCATTTCTGTTGCATGGACCTTGCCTGGTGGCTTAGGTTACTCCATGTTCTGTGTTTTGTGGGCAGCAAGGTGAGGGAGACAAGAAAGGACTTTGGGCACAGACTGGCAGGGTTCCTGTCAGCTCTGTCCCCAGCGAGGCACTGCCACAGCCTGGGTCCCCAGTCTGTGATGACACATGGAGCCTGCCCAGCAGGGTCCGGGGCAGGGAGGCAGCGATGTGCACAGAGTGCCTGGCTCCTGCCTGGCCCCGCGGGCCTCTGAGGCTTGAGCTGTCCCCACACCCAGCCTGCGGCTCTCGGCCCTGCGGGCGTCCTCCCCACACGGATGGCTGCCTCTGAGGATGTGTCCTTCTCCACCTCAGGTGTGGGTGGACCTGAAACGAGGGGTCGCTTCCCACCTCTGGGCACTCGTCTTCTGTCCGGCAGCTCCCCCAGAGCCTGCGTCGTGCCCGTGTCCCCAGCCCTTCCAAGGCCCTCATGCTGTTGCCCTTCCTTATTTCATTTGCCATTTCGGATTGCAGCGATAAAGTGGGAAACCCAGCATTTGTGGTGCATTGCCTCTACAAATCTATTTTTCCCTTCCAGCCGCGAGACGATTGGACGGGGAGGATGGAAGTTTCGACCAGGACAGCAGCAAGGTAACTGGGGGAGCAGCTTTCACTCTGAGAGCCCCGTGGCTCTGTGCCAGCCTCCTCTGCAGCTGCAGGCTCCTCTGCTCCTCTGTCCCTTGGGGTCCTGGAGGCCCACGGTGGGGTTTTGTCCAACGCCTCCTTCCTGGATTCAGGATGAGCCCTCTTCCACCCATCCTGGCTGGTTGCCGGGTAATCTCCTTAACTGAGGAGGATGTTCTGTGTCCAGGTGCATTCTGGGGGACTGCGGATGACGGCTCTAGGACAGGTGGTCTTCCACCAGGGTCCACAGGCTCAGTGTTTTAGAATTTGTGGGCATAGCTCTCACCAGACAGGGCACAGGTGTGAACGGTAGTCGCGGCTCTGCTCCAGTGGTGCCATTTGGGGGCCGGCCTTCCCCGGGCCTCGGTTTCCTCATCTGTGAAATGGGACAGCAGCATTTATCCTGAATGTTTCCCATGATCCCGTCCCCCTCCCTGGTGGGACTTTTAATAAAAGCTGGGCCTCACTCACACAGAGTTTCCTCGTGGCAGAGCCTGCTTGTAGGCTCCAGGAGGCTGCTAGAAGGCTGCAGGGACCCCTTTCCTCCCTGGCTGGTGACCTCCAAGTTCACACGACCTTTTCTTCTCCGCAGACCAGCTGGCTGCTGCTCAAGGGCGAGGCCGACACGAGGACGAACTCGCCGGACGTGGACAGCCGGTCTCTGTCTCACAGTAGCGGGCTGGAGCGAGAGCCGCCCCCCAGAGCACCCGGAGACGGCTTCTACTCACGTGAGTGGTTCTTCTGAACCCGGAACTAAATGTGCGTGGAGGCCTCCAGCATCGGGGCCCCAGCACGGTGCGGCCCCCACGTGTCCGCTTGGCTCCTTAAAACACGTGACAGCGAGCCAGCCTTGCACGGGCACCTCGGATAGGAGAGCGGAGGCTTTGCCACTCGCCACGTCCCCACGCAGATGTCAGTTGGCTGGCATGTGGTGGCCATGGCACAGCGGGTATCCTGCGACACTCCCAGATGCTGAGTCATTGGAGAAAGAGCCCCGAAGGCCCGATCCCTCGCAGAGCAGATGGGGCATGGTCCAGGGCGAGTCCAGAGCTGGAGCGGGTGACGGGGCGCCCGGGCGAGGTGCAGGAGAGGCCGGTGAGGAGGCTGACGCTGGCTGAGCTGGGTGTGGGGAAGACAGGGGAGAGGAAACCTGATGGTGTCCACTGCTGTAATTCCTGGACCAGCCGGGAGAGGGCGCTGGCAGGAGCATCTAGAGGCCCAGAAGGTGGTCATTTCTGACGCCCAGGCGGGAGGGCTGAGGTTGGAAGCAGAGGCCAGGAGGAGTGGGCTTGGGTGCGAGGCACAGGGGAGAGGTCCCGGCTCAAAACACGGACTGCACGTAGACCCAGCTCGCCTGATCCCCGTGTGATGGGTGGCTCTGCATGGCTGCCCCGTGGGTCTCTGGGAGACTTTGCTGGGCACAGTGGCGCCTGGCCTGGCGGGCAGTCGGTGCTCAGGAAAGGCCACGCCCATCCTCATCCTCACCGCCATGACTCTGAGCTGCACTGTGTCCCAGGCTGAGAGTGGCCATAGGAGAGGGCTGCGCGGAGGTGTGGATGCCTGGAACCATGGTTGTCGCAGGGTGGCTACAACTAGGACAGCTGTGGTCTTCCGCGTGGACCTTTGTAGGCAGGTGTCCTCCTGTTCTCTGCCCTCAGGGTCTCAGAGAGGGTGCCCAAGGCTGCAGTCGGCCTGAAGGGACACCAGCACTGCCCTGGGGCAGGGCCTGGTCTCCCCATGGCTCCCTGGGCCTCTGGGGGGCAGCTGCACACCCGCCCTGCAGCCCTCCCTCTCCTGGGACCCCTGCCCAGCTGCCGTGCTCCTTCCTCGCGTGCCTGTGCCCATCGTGTGCCCCAGCTTGGGAGCAGCTCGTGGCCTCCTGCCCAGGCATTAGCTCCAGGACTGAGTGAGCTGAAGACGGTGCTGTCCGGCTTCCAGTCCTTCCCCTTGGGGTGGACAGGCCTTGTCTGCCAGCCTGGTTCCTCCATGCCCGAGACTGCTGTCCGCAGCAATTCTCATTGTCCTCTGGCCCCGGACTGAGGGAAGGGACACTGCAGGGAGACACCAGCTGGAGACAGCTGCCACTGTCAAGCTGTGTGGCCCGTATGCGTAGCGCTCACCCTGATGCCGCTTTCGCGTCTGCAGGTGCCAGGATGTGGGTGCCCTGGGCCATCCTGGGACCTGTGGGCTGGGGGGGCCCCGCAAGACCAGACTGCGGCCACTCTCATAGTGCAGGGACCTGCCTGCCAGCTGCACTGCTTCTGCTCTGTCCCCACCACAAGCTGCATCCACAGCCACCTGCCTGGCCCAGCTGCCTGCAAACCTGCACAGCGCATGCGCCCTGGGTGCATCCTGGCCTCTGCAGCGCTCGCCGTGTGACCGTGACTGCGCTGCCTCCCGCTTCGCTGCCCTGGGCTGCCCCGATGCCTCCTCCACGCAGGAGCCTCTGTCTGATTGACTGCACCTGTGCTTCTGTCCCATGATGTGGCCTTGTTTCCTGACGTGGCTGAAAGCAGCCTCGGACCGGGAGAGCCTTGCTCTCTGCCTGCCCCGCCAGCCGGGGCTCCACTCTCGTTTCCGGGGCTCCTCCAGCCTCCCCCAGTGCCCCCACCGTGGGTTCCTGGCTCCAGATCCGGTTGTGCCCGCCTCTGCCTGCACGGAGCCTTTGCACACAGCAATGCCCGCCTGCCTACCCGGGGCCGCCCCCATGCGCCGAGGAAGCTAGGGCTGTGACACCAACACAGCGGGCGCTCAATAAATGTTGGTTGAATTGAGATGCGTTAAATTCAACGGGTATTTATTGAGCACCCACTCTGTGCCAAACACTGAGCAAGCACCGAGGGGAGACAGAAGAGGAGAGCGCCCCCAGCGGTGCCGTCGGAAGCAGCAGTTGCGTCCCATGCCGCCTGCCCGCCCACCCTCTGCCTCCTGACTCTCAGGGCCCAATCAGGCCTGGTCCCACCACCATGCCATCCTCAAATTCCTGGGTCCTCCTGCAGCTGTCTATCCAGCCTCCCGTCCCTGCGCCCCACAGAGGCAGTGGTGACCCCTTGTCCGCTAGGGCTGTGGTTCTCCACCTCTGTGCAGAAATACACATTTAATGTGGGCGGCTTCCTTTTCCTTTTGTGTACGTCTAGGCCTGTCTGGGCCGTATGCGATAGTCTGATACGGATGCACCATTCTGCACAGCTTCCGGCCCGCTAGGGTGAGGCTCGCCCCCCAGAGGAACATGGGGTGGCCGCCTCCTGCCCTACTTGGCCCCTGAGGACAGCCTGCTGCCCCTCTTTCCATCTCACCCTCCGGTGCTTGCACACGCATTGTAGTCAGAGAAGCCCTGGCCAGCTGGGGACCCTGCCCAGGGGACTTGGAGGTCCCTAGAAGGGCCCTGACACTCACAGCGGAAAGCCCTGCACTCAGACCCAGGAGGGGTGGTGGGCGGATGCAGGGGGTGGAGCTTGGAGCCAGGTGCATCAGAGCTTGGAGTCAGCAACCCAGCCCGGAGGAGGCCCCAACCCACCTGTCGCTTTGGCGTTCTGTGTCCCCTTCTGTGTGTGCCCTCCACTGTGAGGCCCCCGCGGAGTCCTGTGCTCGTCTTTTCTAGTTCCTGTCCCCACAGGCCACCGGCAGCAAGGGAGGTTCAGGGCCCAGTGCTGCTGCAGGGCGGGTTCTTTGGTGGCCACAGGAGGAAAGGGGCAGTTGGGTGTCCTCCCTGAGTCTCGCAGGGCTCCAAGGTGGGAGGACTCTATATCCTTGCGTCTCCTGGTCCTTGACTCCTGCTTTGCCATGGGATGTCAGGCAGGACCAGCATAGCCTGGTGGAGGGCCTGCGGTGGAGGCCCTGTAGGGGTAGTGCCTGCAGGTACCAGGTGGGAAAGATGGTGGCACCATTGCCTCATTGTACAGCGGGCAGAACGGGCCCAGGGCAGAGAGGCATGGCCCACTCACCCAGTGTGTCTTTGTGAGCCCTTCGCTCTGAGCGGGGGCCAAGCCAGGCCTCATCTTCTGCAGGTCCCATGGGGCTTAGCCTAGTGCAGGACGGGGTGGTGGGAGGGAAGTGTGAGCTGTACTGGCTGGCAGTGCCAGGGTATGCAGAGGATGGTATGCTCGTACACATGAGAGTGGCAGAGCAGGAGGCAGTGTCCGGCAGACCTGGGGCAGAGCCGAGCCCGGGGCTGCTGCCAGGGAGAGGGCAGAGGCAGGGCTGGTGGTGGAGGGTCCAGAGGAGGGTGGTCTGGAGGGCTCTGGGCAGGCCTCGCCCACATTTCCGGGATGGGGCTGGGGGAGAAGGGAGCAGAAGGCACTGCCAGCACCCAAGCCTGAGGGGTCCTGGGCCCCACACACACCAAGGCTCGGAGGCCAGTGCCAGAGACAGCGGGGCAGGAGCAGGACTGGCAGGGATGGCCAGGGCAGGTCTCCCGCGGTGCACGGAGTGGATGGGCACTGCAGGCTGCCAGTGGGAAGTGGTGCCCACCTTTGCATTTAACCCGCAGACACCCACTTGGCAGAGGGCAGGCAGGGAAAATCGGGGCTGTGTGGTGAGCAGCAGGAGCCCTCAGATGAGCTGGCTGGGGCCTGCAGTGGGGCTGGGGCCCTGGGTGGCAGAATCAAGTAGCCCCTGAGCTGGGCATGCTGGCCTGGGTGGGCAAGGAGCCTTTGTTCAGAGGGGTTGGAGAGGCAGGTCTCCCAGCCGGTGGCTGTCAGGAGGTGGGGGTACAGCTCAGCTCAGAGGTGGAGGCCTGGGGTACCTAGGTTTCATGTTCCTGGACGGGGTTGGGCAGACACCTGCGTCCTCAGTGTGAGCACACAGGCACGTGTGAACTTTCACCACTTGGTCCCAAGTGTGCAGTGTGTCCTCATCCCACTCCCAGCTCACTCTGGGTCAGCTCTTCCGTGTCCCCATCTCTGCACAGCGCTGGGGACAGAGCGTGGAGCAGGTGGGCTGGCACCCTCAACTCAGCGGGTGTCAGGGATGCAGAAAGTGGCAGGGGGTGAGGCTGAGGGTGCCAGAATGGGGCACCAGCTGTGCCCTGGGCTGAGGAAGGTAGAGAGGCGGGGCGCGGGAGGCCAGCCTATCATCCAGCAGCACCTGGCTTCGGACAGGGAATGGCCAACCTGGGTCTTTCTGGAAAGACAGGTGTCCACCTGGGGAGACCGGGTGCTCTCTGCCCCAGTTCATCCCGGAGCCCCCAAGGGAGCTGCAGGAGCTGGGGAAGGCCTGGCCCAAGCCCTGGGCAGCCCAGGGCAGCCACAGTGCCCTTTGGGGGGCCACCTGCAGACTCCTCACTTTTCAAGCCTCCCTGTTCTCTGGGACCAGTGCACTCACCCGCAGCAGGGCCTGGAGAGGGTGTGCCTCCGGGCCCTGGACACTGGCAGTGCGTGTGTCTGCTCAGGTGTCACCGTGGGCCGCTCCCTCGGGGCCCCCACGCGGGCTCCTGTGTCCCCTCACTCCGCGGGTCTGCAGGCTGCTGTCCCTGTGCGAAGCTCTGTCTCTTGCCCCACGAGGGCAGTGTGTGGGGGAAGAAGGTGCAGCCTGGGAGCTGTCATGTGGCTTGGGAAAGCAGCCACTGGCATGGAGAGGCCGCTGTCTGTCACGGGGCGCACAGGGGGATCCCTGCCTGCTCCCTGGGAGCCAGACATGTCCGAGGGAGAGAGCAGAAGTTGCAGACAGAGACAGGCTCCCAATGGCACAGGGACACGCGAGTGGCCGCCGTGCATACAGGGCTGCAGAC